TCTAGTATATTATCGTATACAGGCGGATCGATGCCTCCGAGGCCAGGTAATACCTGCGCTGCCCTCGCTGCTCGATGGCCACCTTGGACGAAGTGGCTGCCCCAAACGGCGGACACGGACACGCGAGGAAAAAGGTGTAGGGCTGAAAATCCACGGCTTCACCTATTTTTCTGATGATTGGTACATGTCACAAAGCAATACAGTACCACACACATCAGCAACCATGCAGTCTTGCGCGTATGTTGCTGACATGGACAGCAGAAGCCTGCACATCGACATGGCAAGTTGCAAGCCGATGCACAAGCACACGAAACACGCGCACACACACACACACAGAGAGACATAGAGACACACAAATAAATGTGTATGTATGTATATACATATATACATATATACATATGCATGTATCCAGTGTGTTTGTGTGCGTGGCGCTCTCTCTCTCTCTCTCTCCCAGTCTCTCTGTCTGTCTGTCTTCCGTCCGTCCGTCCGTCCATCTGTCTATGTACACAATGTCTATTTACTTGTTGTTCTTCTTTAGCTGCACGTGTGTATATATATATATATATACTTGCTTAGTCAGGTGTACTCCGACCCTTTCTTTATACATCCAAGGATCCCGCTATCAGGAGGCCTCAATGCGGGGAACGATGGAGTCTTAAAACTCCAAAAGCTGAATCCCCGAAAGCATGTTACGAAGTGAGCTGCGGGCCTAGGGGCCATGTACAGCCGTAGGGTGAACCTTCGGCCATCCAAGAGGATGCAATCCTCGACGGGCAAGCGAGATTTTCAGCTGGATTACTACTGTGCTCCGGGAGTTCCGTACTCGGTATACACTCGCAGCAAAAGATGGAACTTGCGGGACTGGTATTAAGAGGGCTAGGCCCTAGGCGAGGCCCAATGCCTTCAGCTATTGCCAAGGCTTTGCAGGACGCACACGGGGGGCTGCGGGCGGCTTGGCTTTGACGTCATTTGCTTCTTTGGGAAGGCAAGTGGGGGATGACATTGCTCGGGCAAGGCGACATATGTGTCCCCCTCGAACAGAATCGCGGCTGACCTCCGAAGTCTCAGAGAAACAACCTCCTCAAACCTTATTAACAAAACCATAGGAAACCTTCTTTAACTCGTCCTGAACTCTCAAGGCCCTGTCTTAAAGCTTTGCAAGCGGGAGCTGGCCACTTGACAAAAGTCCTACGTGGACCTACGTAGAACCCCAGCCATGGAATACCCTGGTTGTTGGGGAAAAGGACAGATTTAGGACACGGGGTTTCGGGATGTTTGGGCTTGGGGCTTGCAAATTAGGATCCTAAATTCTACTAGGCCCTAGGCTTTGTTGCCTCACGCGTAGCCAGACCGTTGTTTGCTTTGTTGCTGGCCCGTTTATCGTTTGATACGTCGACTCGAATTCCTGTACTAGTAGGAGCCAGCGTTCGTAGGGGTCTAGAGCTCGAGGTTTTCCTTTAAGGGCACTGCTTCAGGGCTTAGGATTCGTTTCTTAGGTGCTTGGGGCCTTGAAGCCTTAGGGTGAGTTCGGCCAGGGGGCACTCTTGTCCTCTTGCAGAATGCTGGGCTGGTCACAGGCGGCCTGGAGCTTCGCTCTGATATTTCGGCACTCACACTTTTGCCCAGACATAGGGTTTGAGAACTCGTGTCATGACTACGTGGGGTTGAAATGCAAAATCAAGCAAGACGAAGTTGGTTCTACGTAATGTTTCGGAAGTCAGGAGCTGCTGGTGTAGCTTCGGCAGCTATCTTCAGCTGAGGCTTTTCGAGTTTGGTGCTTCGGGTCAGGATTGCTGTTCAACACGCAAGCTTTTTAGGATGTTGGTCAGTGTGCTTTCCCTGGTGCGCCGCTGGAGCCTCTCGTCGCTGAATGTTGACAATGCCCGCTAAGAACGGATGGCCCTTCCATGTTTGAAACACAACTTTTCAGCTAGACCATTTGTACCCTGTCAGCCTATGCCACAACACAAAAAAAAGAACCCTTAAGCCTAGAAGCTCCAGCTGAAGGAACTGCAGCCCTCGGGTCAGAAACCTTAGAGCTCTTGTCTCCGTGCTGGAGCCAAGGCCAAGGCACTGCCCTTGCATCGACATTCTCTGTCAGAAGCTCGGTGCTATGCCTTGGTTATCACTTCTCGAATTCTGCATGGGAGCGCTTCATGTCTCATCATGTTACAACAATTCAAGCAAAGTCTCGGGTATGATGTATTCCCAAGTACAGGAACCTTAGCACTTACGATAGATGAGGTCAGCGCGCTGGGGTTCGTCAGCCTTCCAAGCAGCTATGGGACGACCCCAAAAACGCTTCGACCAAACAACTCAAGGCGTTGAACCGCTACGCTAAGATCTCAACCTCTGACGCCTTACCCCAATACCGAGACGTTGCTCTGTGCTGTTTCTTGTGTCTGAAGCTGAAAGTCAAGCCAAGCAGGTTGAACTGGACAGGGAAGGCAGCGAGAGAGAGAGAGAGAGAGAGCGAGAGAAAAAAAAGAGTCGGAGAGAGCGACGCAGAGACGGACAGACAGACGGACAGACAGGCGTTAGAGTCCTTAGAACATGTTAGAACGCTGCACACGCGGCAGCCAGGCTGAGCTTGGGCTCCGTGGACCGCCAGGACTTGCATCGTACTACCAATACCAAGTTCAAGATCGAATAGGGGAGTGGTGCATGGGAGAAACGCGCGAACGCCCCGGAAACCTACATCTGCCCGGTGGTACTGCAGAGCATATCTGCGTAGAGTTGGTTTTGGGTGTCCTACTCGACCAATCAAAATCAAGCAGCCCGCCATGTCCCCGAGCTGCTTTAAGCCACCACCTCGGCGATTCTCCATGTGCGCTATGGGCTTTCGGTGTTCCGAAGGCTACGGATGTGAAGCTGCGTAGTCTCTTTAGGCCTTCAGGGTTGTGGACCTGGGTCAAAGAGATTAAGTGGAGGCGTGGATCCACAGCTGCATCCTCTACGGATGCGGCCTAGGGCTCGGTTAGACAGTGTGTTCGGAGGGTTGATGCTCAAGGAAGCTCACTCACTCTCATACAAAGTATGGGAACAGAGCAAAGCCCCATTGCTCCTGAAGCTCTACCCGGCACCAGAAAGACTGACCGGCCTGTGCTTCTGCACCCCATCTCGACTTATGGCACCGGATACCAACAGGGCTCTATACGGGTACCATACAGGTCGTTTTAGGGTACTATTGAGTCCAAACCATGTCATCTTCTTTGCTCCAAGCGCTTGTTGGAACTGCCGATGTGCTCGGATGCGCTTCAAGTTGACTCTGGGTGTCTCCGCAGAAAGAGTGTAGTGCGGAGTGGAACTTCGAGAAACACCCAGCTCATGTCTGATGCCTGCTGGCCCTGCTGCAGAGCGGAGGAGAGCACTAAGTCTTGGTGCTGAGAACTTGGGATGATTGGGGGGGGGGGGGGGGGGNNGGGGTCCAGTTAATTGTTCCAGGGTGGTACAGTAAGCATGAAACCCCACGCTCGCGACTCTTACAGCATTCTAGAAGCCCCAAGGACCTTCGAGTTTTGCACTTTCACGCCTGCTAGACATGCGTACGGTAGGTTTGCTTGATGCCTACATGCTGACTGGGATTCTGCGGTCAAGTCGGCGGAACAAAACGGCGGCATATTCTCACACGTGGGGACAGGTGCCTCAAAGTGAGTATTAGGTTTCAAAAGCACTTCAAAACTATCTGTCTTGTTGTGATGCTGGCTTCAACATGGGATTGAATGTTTTGGTCAGGAACTACACTCGAGTTATGAATAAGGAATGGCGAACCTCCCCGACAATGTAGGTAGAGTGCTACCTTGGGGTTTCCGTAGCTCTACATCAAGGCAGGCCTTTCAGCAACGCTCTGCCATCAGAAGGGTTCCTCATAGGAGGGACTCACATGATCTTACTATGGCATTAGGGAAGAAACCAGATGATGCAGGGCCGAACATTCCTGGAATCTCTTTCAGGGCATCGATAGTCGCAGGGGCAGTGCTTAGGACATTTGGAGCTCCTCCCGCTCTAGGGCATGCCATGCCTGCTAACAAACAGTCCGGCTAGTGTGCCCAGAAGACCTGAGCATTCTCCACGATGAGGGCCCCAGAACCAAGGCTGTTGGTTGCAGTGTAGGTTGTAGGTCTTGGGTGCAGGGTAACCTTGATGACAGGGTTGCTGCGCAAGAGCAAAGCGGGACCCTCTGGGCGCAGACAAAGCCAAAATCCCTGGAACAGATCGTAGAATTTCTTGTGGTACCGAATCTGAAAATGTGCCGGCAGTAACTCCAACGGGTCTTCTCAGGGACATGTCTGCAATCAAGGAGATTTTAGCTACGAGATGCTACGAGTAGGATTGTCTGGCGACCGGAAAACATTGAGGAAGATTTATACGGAGAAGGAGCCGTATTACCGTTCTGGACTGGCAGCAATAGCAAGGCCCATGATAGCAATAGTGACAACTGCTGCAGCGATCAGAAAGTCTGCAACAATCGAAACAGAGGGCCGCAGTAGTCAATAGTCATGACAAGAGCCTGTCAGACAGTCTAAGGCGATGTCTGTGGAGGCTTCCAATAGCATCCCACATGACCACACTGAAAGCGACAGGTCTGCAGTACTGAGAAGCATGAAAACACTGGATGCTTACAGGGCTGTTGTGCCCTCATGGGCCCCCATCTGCATGTCGTGGAGCCTTGAGACTACTGACTATTGCCCCACCGGCAAAGTATTGATGGTGGCGGCTCAAATTCAGCATGCTGCTCGGCCGAGCACGCTTTTATGCATGGGTCCAGCGGCTGTGCAAAGGATCCCCACTACCCGTGTATAATTAAGTCTGTAAAATCCGGATGCGTGAACCCCCAACCCTTCGATACATAGGCCCTGGTTTTCGAACATGTCAGATTAACTCGTTCATGTGCATCAAACGGTGGTGCTATTCTAGAACATGCTGTCAATGTCCGATGAGTCCTCCATAATTTCCGACGGGTAGTCGCACTTGCATTGCCGCGGAAGATGCTACCCAGCTCAGAAGATGCCTGGCTGTTTGAGAACTTCATGTTGCACAAGTGCTTGTGCTGTTGCTTCCTAGACACAGACTAGCAGTAGGTTGTCGATGCATACAGGTAGCAGAGATTGCAAGCCATGGTACCAACAGCTGTGCTGTGATCTCAGCCTTACTAGGACAAACTAGTGTTTCCACTACGGCTCCAATTGGATATACGGTCATGAAGTCTGGTTTGTTCGTTGTTCCTTGTTACTATTGCCATCTTGTTGTGCGTTGCCTAGTTGTGACTTCTACATTGTTACTACATGCTATGTACGAGCAGTGCTACAATATGGTCTGGTCTTTGATCTTCAACCTTCAGTACTGATTATTGGTGCTTCGGGATTGGTTTCGAAGGTTGGTGGGGTCGAGCTTTGGGATTCTCACTCCATTTGCCTCGTGTTCATAGTGAGGGGGGTTAGCTTTCTGCGGCCTCGCCTATCAAATTGGACCTTGAATGAGGGATGTGACTGAAGCCCCAAAGGCTGCACCCTCCAATCCATTCGCGCAGCGAGCTCCTGCCTGATCCCACGCGGTTCTTGTTGCGCGCTTCTGCTGCCTTGTTCTGGGAGTCCATGTAGGCGGAGCGGGACTTTTCCTGAACGGCAAGCAGAACAAAACAGGCTGGCTAGGGCTCGGAGGTACATGCGACTATATATGCAAGGCTTCCCACATGTTCTGCCGAGCATTGATGGTACTCGAGATGTAGGTGCTTGTACCTAGAGCGCCCTGATCAAACACAGAGCACAGCAGGAAATCGAACCTGGTATCAATCTTAGCTGCATCCTTTACAGGCTTTCACACGACCCTTTCGAAGAAGAGCAATACTTCTGATCACCAGCTGAACCTGGGAGTCTTGGTCTTGTGAAATCTGTGTCAGCTGTTCTGCTCATCTTGCTGGTCACTGTGGGGCCTGCATGCCGGCATGCCCTCCACTTCAGACCCGAAAGTGCCACCGCGGCAGGAGCTTTTTTGAAGGAAGTCTGATGCCATAGCAGCGCACAACGAGCGTGCCACAACCCGATTAGTAGGTCTGGTTCGTGTTGGTATCTTCTTGCGGGCTCGAACCGTATCGAAAACGCGATTGCGCATGCATAGTGCCCGGGCAAACGATCTTCAGACCTTATTCCGCCCGACCTTTCTGAATCTAAGTCGAACAGCCGGGGACCCGCACCCATTAAATCCGTAAGACCTGCAAACAAGCCAAATTTTGCAATTCCAAACTTGAAGCCCCCTCTGTGGACCCCGATCCCTCCTAAACCTGAAACTCAGACCCTGCACTTCGCCAGGAAGGCTAATGTAGGGGCCTTAAATAGTCGGAATAGGGTTTTGGGGGTTCCTTGTTATAAGTATAGTATAATACACCCCAAAACCCTATTCTAATTATTAAGGCCCCTATATTAACTCCGTCGGGAGGCGGCGTCGTAGCTCGCCACAGAGGCATCCGAGAGCTTCTTGGCCCGGGCCCGCCTCGTGATGCTACCCCTCTTCATCAAAGTATTCGGGCTTAGGGTTCAGGAACCAAGATCATTAGAAAAGGGCGTTGGGAGCACTTCATAGTATATGTCTATGGAGGGACAATACACTGGGATATTTGTTGCAAAAATTTCTGAGCTCCTAGCGTCATGAGTCATGGGTGCCCTTTTGCATCAGGCTTCTTGCATTCGCGCCTGCATACCAACCTCCAAACCGTGAACCGTACACCCTTCTTCCAAAACCCTAATTTTTACAACCCTGAACCCTACGGTATTAAATCTGAACCAAGACTCCTAAACATCCCAACACCCCCAACTAAACCCTAAACCCTAAACCGCACGGTAATGCCGAGAGGTGGCCAACAGTGGCATCCTGGCAACTTACGAAAACAAGCCTTCCCCAATCCCGAAGCCCTAACCCTCAACTCCTAATGTAGGGCCTCAACAATTACCTATACTATTCTGGGGGTTCCGTGTTATAACTCTAGTATAATATACCCCAAAACCCTATTCTAATTATTGAGGCCCCTACATTATGGATCCCTTTCAAGGAATCCCTGAAAAATCCCCTAAAGGAACCCTCACCCCTCATCCCTCAGCCTGTCCGCCATCGTCACGGCATCCTGACACTCAGCTGGGTGTTGGGTTTACGGGTTTAACACGTTATCGGTTTAGGGGCTTAGGGGCTAGGGGTTTAGGGTTTAGGGCTGAGGGTTTAGGGTTTAGGGTGCAGGGTGTAGGGTTGTGGGATTCTGGCCAACTCCAAACCATATAAACTCGCAACGCAGACGATTAAGACTGCCTCTCAACCGAGGAAAAGCCCCTTCTCCAGACGAGTTTAAAGACCTCGAAACGAAGCCCAACATCCTGACAAGAAGCCTGCACATACCTCTGCTTGAAGCCCTAAACCTTAACCCTAAACCCGTTTCTATTTCTTGACGCCCCATGGCATGGCATGGCATGGCATTGCATGGCCTCCACAACGCCTTTCGACTCGAGACCGTTGATCTCGCGCAAGGGGGCCTGCTCGCAAAACGACGAAAGTATCGGGGTCCAGCTGAACACCAAACACCTAAACGATCTAATGCCCGAAAATTGAAAGCCGGGCAGGCCTGGTACTGCTCCAGCGCGTCATAAACCTGCAGCGTCATTGAACCATCCGAACATGATCTCAGCCTTCCTTGTGGGGTAGACACCATCTCTCGCCCGACAACTGTCAAAGGACACACAACGCCAAATCCGAAATCGGGTCTCCTTTCTTGCGCAGGCTCCCAGAGCTACTTTGGGGCCCCTTATACTATAACTATATTAAGGAACCCCCCAAAATAGGTATTTTTTAGGCCTACGATTTCGGGCAACTTTCCGGACCTCGTCCTCGGACATTCCCTTCTCGAAACACTGCTGGATGAAGTCCATCTTGTCCTTATGTCCACAGACAGAAGGCTCAGGGCTGTGATGCAGGAGGGGGGCGAGGATGCTTCGGGTGCTGCTTGTGTGAAATGTCGGCTGCAGGTCATACAGAAGGCCTTAACTCCAACATCAACCACGATGTGAAGGACTTAGCTTCTTTGGCTCAAACCGGTCCTTCATCAACAGCAGGGGGAGGGTAGCACAATCCAATCGACCCGCAGATGAAGCCCAAAACTGTTGCGAAGCACAGCGCAAACCGTCTTTGGATTTCCAAGGCACAGCAGCTGCATGGGTGTTGGCGAGCATGCAATGCAACCCGAACTAAGAAACGTAAGAGTTTAGTTTCAATGCGTAAGGCATGTCACCACGCAAGATACTGATTACACACACAAGCTGTCAGCTATACAGCCTTGGAATCGTCTTTCCGCAGCAGAGAAGCGGCCTCGATCTCGGATTGGGTAGGAGGCACGCCTGGCTTTTCAGAGCCGACAGCGTCAGAAACATGAAACCACCGTAGCCCGGAAACCGAAACCGGGGTTGAGTTCCCGGACGGGGCTCCGAGCTTTTCGGGGGCTGCGAGCAAAGGGGTAGTTTTCTAAATTAGGGTCCTTTTGGGGGGTCCATATTATAAGGGTGCCGTACTATATTGGGGACCTACTATATTGGGGACCTAAACGGGGACCCTAATTTAGAGAACTACCCACAGGGCTCTGGAATTTGAGATCTGAGCGGTTGTGAGTGGCGGGGGAAGCCTTTGGGCTCAAAGAGCTCTCATTGCTACGGTCCTGCGAGGGGAAGTTACACCACACTCGGAGAACTCGAACGCAACGCGTTCTCCTGACCAGCCTCAGCTAGCTTAAGGCTCGAGGCTTGTGACTTCTACGCTTGAGGGTCAAAGGGGTTAGCGCTTGCAGGTGGGAGGACACCACTTGAGTTCGGTGTGATGCCGGACTCTCATGGAAACGGGAACGAGACAGAATTGAGGAATGTCCGAATACCAAGACAACACCCCATAATGGTGCCGAAAGCACGGACGTCGGTCGGCTTGGCTGCAGGATTCTCCTTGGAGAGGAGCATGTTGCAGCCGTGTCTGTTGGCAAAACGGGGTTTATGCCGGGGAGCAGAGGACGATCCCAAGCAAAGCCATCATGCCTACGAGAGCAAAGAACGCTCTCCAGTGGACTCCACAGAGGCATGAAGTCCTCAAGCGCTGCCTGTAAATTCGGAGACTGGCCCCACGACAACAATACTCTGACATCAAAACCTCCCGAAGCCCTCAGGCTGGAACCCCCAGGCCCTCTGATCACTACTAGCCAGAAAAGCAGCATTCCAGGGCACGGTAGAGCGGGAACCGCCCATGTTCGCCTGCACACCAGGAAATCGGCAGTAGTTTGGTAAGGCTTTCTAGGGGTGATTTGCGCCTTGCACCTCAAGACGACATGTGATTCGCGAGCTCGGCCTCAACTGGACTTCTAATACTTCTACTTCCTTCGGAAGGCACAGCAGGTCTTTTTGCCCAACCATTCTCAGAGCAAATCTTGCAAACCGCAATTCGCAGGCAGCCCTGACAGAGCTTCATGAGCAGGCGACGACTTGCGACACCCGTCATGCACATTTTGGTCAAGAGATGTCCAGTCTACATCGTCTACATGGCACGCTTCTGAAGCCGAGGCGGCGAAACCATGCTACCGTCGGGGCTGCCAAAAACGACTAGTCTCAAAAATCACCTGGGCTGCTGTCAATGCTCTTATGCCCCAGGCGGGGCTAGTGTAAGTCTCGATTTGCTATGGCAGGAGACACAACCAAGGCTCACGCTCTTCCTGGCCTTCCCTCGTGAACCCCGAACTAGCCTGCGGGACCCTGCATATTTCAGCATTTGACAGCCGCTTCACTTGTTGTACCAGCCCAGGGTGGGCTTGTACGGACTCAGCTTGTTGTCATAATAGTCGCCGTTCCAGCGGATGGGCTCGTCGGAGATACCATAGACCTTCTCCACTCGCTCGATGAGCTTCTTGTTGTACTCATCCCAAATGGGCTTGAAAGCTACGGCCTCTGGGCGGATGGGGTAGGTGCCATCGGTGGTGCTCACGATGCCTGATGGCTCGATGAACTGGTCAATCTTGAACTTCCGGTAGATACCGCCACCCGTGCTGGATGCAGAATACTTGGGATCCTTGCCATCGCTATCTCGATTGTACTTTCGGTAGTACGCTTTCGCCCAACGGAACTGCTGCTCCTTGGTCTTGCAGTCCACTCGGATGTCGCAACCCTTTGCCAAGACCTCCTCGTCCGTGAGCTCTTTGGGAGCCGCAGCCTCCTCCGCCATAACCGGTGAGGCGGTGGCCAGGCTCAGGAGAAGGCCGAGCACGGCACCACCGAAGAGACTCGGCAGAAGCCCAAGGCCAAGGGCGCTGCTCTCCCCGGCCACCGGCGTGACATCGGCCTGCTCGCCACCGCGGAGGCCTTTGTGGGTCGGTGCTGTTGTCGGCACCAGTCCTGGCACAAAGAGGAGGCTTCCGGCAAAGGCCGTGCACACGAGGGCCACCAAGGACGTGCGGCGAGCCATGACTATGACCAAGACTTTTTCAAGAAGCCTGGCCTGAAAACAAACAAGCTTGAGCCGCAGCCCTGTCAAGACCATGTAGGTTCTCATCCCTCAAAAGCTTCGGGGATTCCTGGCCCGACATCGAACAGGTCGCCTGTACCTAAACCATAAACCCTACATCTGAACAGAGAATCCTAGGCACAACTCTGTCGTCCGGGCCTCACGACGGCGCGCAGCCTTCATCGCTGCCACCGTGTGGGCGTCCTGGGCCATACGGGCTCCAAGACTTCAGGGCTCGTGGCTTTGGGTTTGGGGTGTAGCTTCAGCGCTTGGATATCTCTGTGAATCCAAAAACCAAATCTTTACGCCGATCGCACCAAGAGCTACTGACTCATCCCAACTCCCAAAGAGCTCAAAAGACCAAAAAGTGTTGACCAGACTGTTGCATCCAGCGACTGTCGGCACGGAGTCCGTGGAACCTCGGCCCACAAGGTGCTACGAGAAATGCTTTTGCGGCCCTTGGGCTGCTCAACCAATCGGCCGGGACCTTGAACTTACTAAACACCAGATTGAGCCATAATAGTTGTAATAGGGTTTGGGGATCCATTATACTATAATTATAATAAGGAACCCCCACCGATTCACCAGATGCAGAAGCCCCCCATGCCCAGAAGAGTCTGAGCCCATCAACCTGCCAAGACTTAGAACTTTGAACTCTGACGCTTTGGGGCTCGAAGCTTCGGACATTTGGGAAGCCAGGTGACGGAGCGAAATCACTGAATTTACCCCTGCAATCTCGCAGCCTGTCGCTAAGTACTTAATAATAGCCCCAGGCTTCAAAGCAACGAACGCTATTTAGGGCCATCACACGGGCCCCTTGGCTCGAGACGAGACGACAGCAAAGCTCAGATTCCTAGATTCCCACGCCAAAGACTTCATGCTGTAAAAGTACTATCATAGTAACACTGTACGGCTAGTGGAGGAAATCTTACACCACCTATTTAGTAGCAAGTGACACGACACATGAGCATAACCCCGCATCCTCTTTCTAGTATTGACGACGATGGATACCGGGGTTGTGCAAGATTTCAGTCATTGGAACCCACGGGGCTTCGGAGTATCAAGAGTCAATAGTAAAAAGGGGGTGCAGGGTGTCTGCTTTGCTCGGCCACTTAAAGTGGTGCAAGATTTCCTCCACCAACAGTAGTAACATTACATATGTATAGTAACCGTACACTCACTTTATAGTATATAAGCTTGTGGTTGTGTTAGAATACTAGTCCGGCCCAAGGCTCCCCAAGGGCATGTGCTGCGTGCAGCCTGGGATGTACAGACAGTCGAGCATGGCTCTAATATGCCTGATGACGGAACGGGGCTTGAATGTGAATTGTGGAACGCAACTTCTTGGCGAGTCTCTGGGAAATGGAGCCAACACGGACTTCAACACCGTCATGACTGTCTGCACGATCACTGCTATTGCGGTGGCTATTTCAGAACTGCTAGTAGTTCATTAGTCTTCCCATATCAGGACTTAGTGTGTTGTCTTTCCAACAACAGCTCTGCTCCGACGTGCAGTACTTTGAAAACGGCTACATAGTCTCGCAGGTCTCTCAAGAAAGGATTTGGAGTCCTATCAGTTTCTTCTTCCTTGTTACTTCGTCTTCAATCTAGTTTTTGAAGGTCTTAGTGCACCGTTTGCTCAGAGTTCTGCCTCTCAGTTTTGCCAGGCTGAAGTGCGAAGCTACCGTGGGGCGGGGTGATGCCGAGGGCAAATCTTCCGAATCTCCCAGAACCCTCAGACTTAATGAAGCACTTGGATGTAATTCGCAACACAGTCTTTTCCTAAGAGCTTCTGACTTCTGCAATCCAACGGCCTTATCTCTGCTGCCCAGCCACGTACTTGGACATGTCTAAGCCCGGTATGTTCGATGGGGTGGCTTCACGCGTCTCGCTGGCTATACTCGGCCAAAAATGCTGCGGAATCTACAGGCTGAGGGGCGGGGTGCGGGGCGCTGCCAGGGTGCTCCTGTGAACCTGCTTGTGTGGGCAGAAGCTGCGCAGCTCTGGGTTCGGAGTCTTCTCGAGGCTTGTGCCGGTCTCTGCTTTTGGAGCAGTCCTCCTGCCAGCTTTTGGCGAAGCAGTTTTTGCTGCCTCTGCCGTCATGCACAGTCGGGGGGTCAGCACGGAAGCCGTCCTTTCCGCAACATCCGGCCCAGAACTAGGACTGTTTTGGCATCTCTCCAGGACCGCTAGTTAGACCCGAACGCCTACACGAGGAAGCTACTAGCAACAGCAGCTACAAGGTCAACAGAATCACGGGAAAGCTCATGGAAAGAGTGAAAGCCATAGGGCAGGTTTGAGGGTCTAACACTCTAAGGCTAGACTCCTGAAAACCAGTAGTCACGAAAGAGCGTGCAGTTTACCCCACCTTCCGCAAACCTCAAGAACCCGTGCGATGGCATACAGGAGCCTGAACCAGCCGTTGTGCCATCACCTCGGCCTAGACTATCGAAGGATTGTGGCTACGGCCTCCTTATGAGTCATTGCGCGGCCAGTTTCTCAGACGCCTGTGGCCGCACGATCTCACATATTCAAGTCCCCGAATAGAAATTTATCCTTAAAGCCTCACTACTTTTCTTGCCACTTCACCTGTTTATTGTTTTACTTTGCATGTTGCGCTCCGCCTTGAAACTTAAAACTGCTGCTGCGATCACGGCGAGCATACCTTAAATATCCCCACATCCTTAGGTTTAGGGTTTAGGGTTTAGGGTTCTTAATCCCTCAACAGTCGAACCCTAAACCCGAAACCGCAAACACCCTAGCCCGCCTAAACCCCGCAAGCCCAGTAGTAAACCCCCTTGACCGGGAAACCTACCAACTGAGCCCTGAACCTCCTATGATCTTCCCTGAAAGGAACCCTTAAATGAGTCCTTAAAAGAGCCCTTAACCCTTAGACGGCTTCTACGGGCCGGGGGCTTCCGTGCGCATCTCTCACGGCTCAGCTCGGGGAGCAGCCGGTCTCCTCTGCCGGGGCGTCGCCCCGGCCGAGGTCCAAGTCCTGGGCATGAGCATGGGAGTTCACATCTCTACATGTGTATACAGTACCTCTCCATGTGTGTATATAGAAATATAGATATACACACATACACGTGTGTGTGTACGTATCTACTAGTAAGGCAGAGAGCGAAGAAAAAAACAGACATACATGTAGCTTGGAACGCTGGTGTTAGATTTTTCTTGAACCCCAAGTGCCCAAAAGCATCGACAATGCATGTGACTCAGCGGATTGCAAGACAAGACGTTGCAGCGTCCTCATTGCATCTACTTTGTCTTCCGTGCCGCTTTAAGCAGGATAAGTCTCGTTGGCGTGAGGATTTCGGCTTGGTGCTTTGAGGACTTTGAGTTTGGGGATCCACGCAACTCCTCCTTGCCTTTTTGCAACCGTGCGGCTGCGAGGATCTTGAACCAATCTCTTTGGAAGTTGTTCGGATCCGGTGGAGGTTTGTAACCTCGCAGATGATTGAGCCGTACGCCTAAAGTTCTGCAGGGTTCGGGTTATGGATACTGAATGTCCAGCACCTTGCTTGCAGGACCATAGTCTGAGGCACCCAGCGATTAGGATTCAAGCTTCCGGGTGGCTGTGTGCTTGCTGGGGACACAAGGCTCGTGCACTATGTTGGCGAGTCCTCTGATCAGGTCTGGTACTGCTGTGCCACCGCTGCTTCTTTCCACCAACTGTGGCCCTGATGACGTTCTTGCTGCTGTTGTGCTTTCAACTTCTCCAAATCTCTTTTCTAGTCTTCTCACCGAGTGTCTATTCCTTAGACGACCTCTGATGCCGAAGACCCTTCATCCGCATCCTAAACCTGAGATTCGACCCCAGAAGCGCGAACCCTAATTCCCATGTCCTTATTTCCTTGTTGACGAACTCGAAACTCTAAACCCTGCATCCTTCCTCCCTGTCCGACCAACCCTAAACCTTGCTTGTTGACTAATCCCGAACCCTTCCTGGTTGAGACACCCTCACGCTTCATCCTTACTTCCTTGTCGACAAGCCCTAACCCCTGCATTCTTCTTTCGTTGCTGACAAACGGTAAACTCTACGTACCCTAAACCCTGCACGCTTACTGCCTTGTTGACGAACCCCTCAACACTACATCCTTACCTCCTTTATGACGAACCCCAAACCCTACATGCTTACTTTTCTTACCTTCCTCTTTGACAAAGCCAATTATACCTCGTTGTTGACAACTCGGTTTCCCGTCTGCATTTTCACCTTCAGTCTCAACCTTAGACCTTTGATCAAGAGGCCCCACACCCTCATCTTAAAGCAAAGGATGCAGTAGGCTCGGACCTCAGAGCCTCGAACCTAAACCTCCACGCCCTAAACCCTCCATCCTTACTTTCTTGGGCACACCCTAAACCTTAGCTTCTTTCAGGTCGCTTGGTGGCCCGTTGGGCGTTACGGCCGAGGGCGCCAGTTCGGCGGACCAAACGCCGTCGATCCTAGGGTTTAGGCTTGTTCGCCTACAGCGGACGGTGTAGGCTTTCAGGTTTCGGGGTTTCGGGTTTCGGGGTTTTGGGGCTCCCACTCAGACAATCCAGGTGAGGCATGCGGTTCTTACTGAGCCTGCTCGTGAAAGTACATGAGCAACAAAGCAGATGCCTAGTTGGGGAAGTCGACTACACTTGCTACTCACCCACGGCTATCCAAAAGAGGATCGAGCAGGCAAGACAGGGCGAAGGTCGGCTGCCAGGAGGACTGATCGTTTGCAGGGTTCAGGATTGAGGGTCTTAAGTTTTAAGGGTTTAGGTGAGTTTAGGCCTCAGGGTTTGCGCACTGGGGGTCAGGACTTGGCTACTTCGTCTGAAATGAGCCTGGGATTATAATGACAATAACAAGCAATAGCGATGATGACGCTTGGAATTTAACGATTAAGAAGAAGACTGACAATATTGGCCACAATAAACTTAACAAAAGCAGCAATAGCAACAGCAGTACCCCGGGTAATAATATTACCAAAATGGGCTTCCAGCCTCACCCTTTCAAGCAGGAGGCAAGGCTCCACACAATCCAAGAACCGACTGAGAGCAATTGCACAATTTCCACCCAGAGCCAAATCAAAGACCCAGGCACCATCCATACGGCCCCATTTTTCTCAGCACGATTCACGTGCAGACTAAACCAGCGATCATCAAATTCAAGGGCCCTTTTTGGATTCACGAAGAACCCCTATAGGAAGAGGGAGTCCTGAATCTGATGCCTCGCTACATGCACAGGGAGCACGCAGTGTGCCCGGTAAGGCAGCGCAAACAGCCCCTTAACTCCTGACTGTTGCAGGGATAAAAAACGAATCACAGCTTGTACTGCCCACTGGGGGATTCATCCGATGCATCGCACGACGGAATCACATGATCAAGATGATCCGCCTTCTCCGGATTTTCCATAACCGACGAAGGCTTCTCGATGGATCGCGGACGAAGAACCGCAAGGCAAAACACAGGGACTGCCATGAGCACGATCCCGCCGGCCGCAAAGAAGGCGCCCTCATAGTGGCCACTGAGATCATAGACCTTGCCGACCAAGGTGGGCCCAAGAATCGAGCCGAACGCGATCGGAATGCCACAAAGACCGTAGAGGTGCGCTACTTTCTGTGGGTCGAAAAGCTCGTTCACTACCAGCGACAACAGAACAACACGGCCTCCGGAAGAGAAGCCGTAGGTGGCAGCGAAGGCCCTCAGTTCTGCGGCATCTGCGCAGAAAGGCAGACAAACTAAGCACGCCCCCTGCACGAGCAGCACGACCAGGAAAAGCCTCGAAGGCCGCACGGAGGCAGACAACAGGCCGAAGCACAATCGACCAGCTGCACCTGCTCCGCCAAGCAGTGAAGTAAGCTCTCCAGAGATTTCAAGGCCCCTCTCGGTTTCTGCATAGTAAACGAGGTGCGTGTAGGGCACCATGAAGCCGATACAGTAGAGGAACAAAGGGACGTTGTAGAGCAAGAACTGCAAGTCTCCGAAAGGCTGTAAGAAGTCTCGGACATCGCCACAGCTTCTCAACTTTCGAGAGTTGGTGGTGGATTCTCTGGTCTGCTTTGGTTTGTGGCGAAGGCTGCACCAAAGAGCCACCACGGAAACAAACAGCAGAAGGCCAGAGACTCCACAGCAAATCCGGAGCGCACCCCTCCAGCTGAAGCTGTCCAGCAGTCGCTCGAAGCCCACACTCGCCACGACGGTTCCCAGGCCTCCGCCGGACGAAGCCAGACCCACGGCCACAGGCAGAAAGCTCGGACTGATACGGCCGTGACCATAGAGCACCGTCATGGCTGGGGTGAAGATCATGGCCATGGCCACCCCGCCGACCAAACTACAGCTCATGAAGAGGAAGTAGCTCGAGGGGGCGTAGCTGTCTGCAAGCATGCCAAGCACAAGTAAAGCTCCTCCAATTGCTGGCATCCGCACGTAGCCGACGCGATGGACCAGGAATCCTGCTGGCGCATTGCTTAAGTAGAACACGAAGTCCCGAGTCGAACCCACAAGTGCCAGGGTGCTGGCTGCATCGTCCGTGTCTGCCTTCAGTGCAGCGAAAAGTGTGCCATAGGAGTAGAAACGCCCCACGACCACCACCTGCAGAAGGAAGGAGGCCACGGCCAAGAAGGCTTGCTGCCAGCCAGAAAGCAAGGATCCTGCACTCTGGATCTCGGACATGATGCCGGCAAATAAAAAGCCCTGTAACCTCGCAGAGTCTACCGTGATGTAGCGTGCAAAACTTGAGCCAAAATGGCTACAGGGTTTCGACTCGCAAAGTCGCACTCAGCAGGCACGGCTCCAGGGTCACTCCACTTCTGTGTGCACCGTTTGTTGATGGGAATTTGGGGTGGTCGATGGTTTAGGCTCGTCAATGTTTTTATTCTCCCATTACTGGCGACTGTTGTGTAGGACATGCACAATCGGCTCACACATGTTGGAGTAGCTAGCTGCTACGGGGTTTAAAGTTTCGGGGGGCAGACCGGGAATGAAGTGCAGCCCAGGCAGCGGGGAACGCCATGAAGGCCCAAGCACGTTTTTCCCCTTCCCCTTCAGAGCGTAGAAGGCCGCGGCCTTGCCCTGCCGAGAAGTGTCAAGGCTGGGCGGAGTGAGGGAAGCGCTGGCTATGGAGCGGTTGCAGGTTTCAGAGCCGTCGAAGCCTGCTACGGCTTATGCACAGAGGCCTCAAATTTTGCAGTAAGCTCCGGAGCGAAAGCGATTTCTCTCAGAGCCCCGTGCACTCGACACCGGGGGTTACTGAGCAACCTTACAAAACACATTGTGGCGCACCAACCTGACACCTTCCTACCCCAAAGTCCCCGACAAAGTCTGAACCGAATCAGCAAACCTCCTCCGGTCTCCCGCGGCTAGCCTTGCCACCCGGAAACAGGCGCCAAGGGCCGTCTTCTCCCTGGACAAGCAGTGGTTCAAAGGGGTTTGCTCTGGGGCCTTGGGGCGGATCTTGAGTTCCTGTAAGCCACGGTTCTGGCTTGCAGCCAATCGCTCGGATTGCGCGTCGCGCGGATGAGCGAATGACGAGATGAAAGGGCAAGCCTATCTTTCCTACCTCCCGGCTTCAAAGTCTCACTGCCAGGTCACGTTTCGTTCTTCGCAGGATTCGAGAGAACAATGGGGGGTACTGGATGCCGATCTAGACTTTGGAACTGAATTCAACCATGAAAAATGAAAGCCCGATACCCCTGCCCGAACAATAAAAGGGGATATGCAGAAAAAACGAATGCACAGGCCGGAACCCTGTGAGTCTAGGCTTTCGCGGGGCGTAACGGCCTGCAAGACTCTGAGAACCATGAGCCGACACAGTGGGTTTTTCTGTTGCTGCACCAAACCGGCGACCACTGCACTTTTTTATTCACTATGCCTGTCTGTCTCAGGCTCGCGCCCTCTCTGTCTTTCTTTCGCCAGGGCATGGTGTAGAGGTAGTCCCCCTACACCGCGCGCGTTAGCGCGCCCGACTGTTCTGGGGCCAGTAGTGAATTTGGCTCACTCCACCAAGGCTTGGACTCTCTCTCGCTCTCTTTCTTTCGCAACGGCTGAAAGAAGCCGAGCCACCCCTTCTCTCGCACTTGCTTGTCGCTTGAGCAGCATGCCACCCAGCTAGTGAGCTACGTTTGTTTGCTGGTTGGTTTGCTTGGGGTGTGGGGGTATGCACCCCTTGGCCCGAAGGTGTGGTTGCTCTTGCTCTTGGTTGCTTGCTTGCTTGTCTGCTTGCCGGTCTCTCCTTCTTTCTTTCGCCAAGGCTCCCCCAACCGCGCGCGAGTGCGCCCCCGGCTGTTGCGTGTGCCAAGAAGTTTCACCCAGCGCGCACTCCAAGGCTAGGACTCCCACAAGAAGGACGAATGCACAACATATGATGGAGTCCATGCTTCCACGAAGCATGCAAGCCTTTCGATTGCAAACTGTGAAAGGTGCATATAGGCACATACTATCCTACCAGGAGATAGACGATTCCTTCGGGGCTGTTCCCCGTTTTCGCGCAACAGGGAAATGCAGAGTCTGAATGGCCCAGTATGTCGAGGTGGGCCGCTCGCAGTGCTAGGCACTAAGTTCCCGGGGCATTCCCCACGAGCAGGCCACCTAGAAGGAATAGGGCAGAACTTGGAGTTTTGGCCAGCATAGCTCAGGCGCTTGTTTAGGCGAAATACAAGGCAGCAACAAAGAACAGACGGCGTAACAAACCAACAAAAATGCAGGTCACAGCACGATCGACGTTGGCCATTGGTTACCTGTACGTGAGTGCACTTGTTTGGGGATGCCCCGGTTTTCAGAGGGTGAGCACCAGACGGTAAATCCCAACACCAGACAACCGAAGAAAGCCAACCTAAGAGCCAGTCGTTGTCCCAGCAATCGTGGAAGACACCGCTCCTCTGCAATGAAGCCATGAATTATACGATAACAGGAAAATCGGAAAATGACGATCGTACATTCTCCAAAAGATATGCAATCAAGAGTGTCCAACACCGCCTTCAATTCTAAATTAGTGGAAGGTAGGCGATCAAACAATAAACTTGAAGGCTCAACGACTTCCCCAGTCCACATATTTTCTGTGACGAGGGATCTCCCGATGTATCGAAGGGAGTACCAGGCTTAATGTTTCGAGTGCAAAATTCAAGCAACACCTTAGGCCAACCACCCATTGTGTTACTTTGTCTCTCTCTCTCTCTCTCTCTCTCTGTCAAGGGTTGAGGCCGAGCCCCCAGTTGGGGACGCCCGATTGTTGGGCTCTCTCCCTCTCCCCCCCTCTCTCTCTCCCTCTCTCTCTCTCTCTCTCTCTCTGTCTCTCTCTCTCTCTCTCTCTCTCTTGTTTTTTCTTTCCCCAGGGTTACGGCAGAGGGTTGCCCCCCTACCGCGGGCGCTCCGGCGCCTCCGCCTGTTGTGGGTGGCAATAGTGCAAAAGGCGCTCAACATCAATGGATTGCTCGGTACACGAATACATCACTAAGCAACGCCACAGCATTCAGAGATAAAAAGTCCTACTTGTATCTGCAATCCATCGGACATTCACGCTCTCGTTCACTTGGGCAGCCAGCAAGTGCCGAAGGGTTTTCAGGTGAAATCCGACAGAAGACTGGGGCTCATGCGAGCACGAAGTCTCTCTCTCTCTGCTTTGCTTGGGGTAAGAGTGGGCAGTCCCCACCCCCCGCGCGTCGCGCTCCCCCCGTCCAGCTTTTTCACTGGAGGCTGTACGTGGGATCGGCTGCCAGGCCGTACAGAACTGGTCGAGTGCCTCCGTGGAGGCACTCTCTCTCTCTCTCTCTCCCTCTCCCGGGCACCGCATATATTTAATGCAGGTTGAGGCGTGTGAAGAACGAACATAATACTTCTGTGGAATCTCCCTCTCGCTCGCTGTCTCTGTCTCCACTCTCTTGCACGGTGCCAAGCAGCACTCTATTCTTCAACCTACAGACGTTCAACTCTGAACCTCGGATATCTGTTGCCCTAAAGGAGCACTAAACACCGCTAGCCGACAGTTCAAGTCTTCGATGGAAGAGCGGATGCCTTGATGCCCAAGTCCCACATGATGAGGGCCTGGCCATCGGAGTTGCAAGCTCTACACTGCCACATGGCGTGGGGCCCTCACAAACTTGAAACCCTGAGAAGTACACGCTCTCTGAAGCTATAAACCCTAGCTATCTAGCAGGCTCTGGACTGACAAACCTTAAGCCGGAACAACAAAAGCAGCCGTCCCACTTGCAGGTGGTCACTATCAGCACAGTAGCAAGAGCACACCGTGTGAACGACACTCGTCACTAGCAGCGAGTAGCGATCCCTCAATCATGCTTCTCACTGTACCCAAGGGCCCTCAGCTCGATCCCAGACCTTCATCCCCCCAGAAACCCTGAAGCTACAATGGACCTTGCAAGCGTCCGACCACCAAGAATTCCTAATATAGGCGCTGAAGTCGAAGTATATAGCATAATGTACCCGAAAGCCCTGTTCCAGTTCGTAAGGCCGTTCACATGCCTCCGGATTGAAGGTGCGCTTGTCGACCTGGGAGCGCGGGGACACCTGACAACAGGGTCTGAGCAGGACTGCGTTTAGGGAGTCGGCGCTGTGGTTTAGGGGGAGGCAGCACCTGATGCGGTTTGACGCGTTCTTGCTTCGTTGCTACTTGGCGTGCTGCTGCTGATGATGCCGGAGGGTTTCACACAGTCCTGCCAACACAGCTTTCAGACGAAGAAGCGAAAGCTTGTTTGCTACAGTCTTCAGCTCGCACTATAGTCACTATAGCGGCTGGCCCGCTCGCTCGGCTGGATACTAGATAGTCCTCCACCGTTCACTGCAGCACTGTCGGCACCGACCGGTCCATCACCAAGAATGAAAGCAGAAGCACGCCCGTATGCTTGGATTTGCTGTACTTTCTTCAACTGTTGCCATTGTCAGCACTCACGGCTCATCTATCGCCACGACCAGCAGCAAAAGCGCCATAATTGGCTTACATCGGCTCGGCATTCTGCAGCAGATCCTGCACAGCACTACTGTCCTCACCCCAGGTCACGACCGATTCATCGCCACGAATCACAGCGAAAGCGCAGCGCTTGCATGCTTGGATCTGCTGCACATTCTTTCAGCTGGTTCTACTCAGCACTGGTGTCACCACCGTAGTCAGAATCACCCCATGTCGCAACGGATCCATCACACAGAACGGCAGCAAAAACACGCTCAGAGGCTTGGAACTGCTGCCAGTCTTCAATGCTTCTACCTGTTTATCCTGTTGTGTGTGTGTCCACAGTAGCTGTCTTTCCACTGTGCAGTCCGATTTCCACGGTCACCGACATGTGAAACAAGGATCCTACCCTGCGCGCTACGTTCAAGCATCGGAACTTCATGGAATGACTCCGCGCAGTTATACTACCACAGTGCTGGTGCCAAGCCAAGCCGCAAGGCGACCCCCATTCTGACGAGAGGTGCTGCTCGACTGCGAACACTCTTTGCATAACCCACCATCTTAAATCCCCACCACCGGCTTCACAGCCGCGGATACCCGTGCCTGAATCGCGTTCGGGTCCAGCTGGTGGGCCAAAGCCTGCAAAGGAGCATGCTGGATTTGTAGGGTTTCGAAATGTTTTTCGTTCAAAAGAGGGGCGCTGCGGGACGATGTTGCGTTCAGGGGACAAGACTCTTCGGCACACGCTAGGAAACTTTGGTCAATAGGCAGTCATACTTCTGTTGAATATGCATCCACATCTCAGTGACGGAAATCTGTAGCCTGTCTTCCGTTCTTCCGTCAGAGTCTGGCTTGATCCGACATAGTGGCACCCGAGCATACACTCGGACACCGAACACGTCCAAATGCCTCCACCCGACTCACCCCGAAACCGAAGCTGAAACCCTCAACTTCAAAGCTTAAGCCTGCAAAGGCAAGAGACAGCCCGCAAACCGACGAGCAATAGAGTGGCCTTAATCATTAGAATAGGAAATTGGAGGCCCGTTATACCATATTTATAATAAGGAACCCCCCAAATAGTATTGGTACTTATGTCGGCCCCCGCCGCAGGGGCTCTTCCCGCCCTAAACCCTAAACCCTTGCAAGCAGCCGAAACCCCTAAACCCTAAACCCTTTTTGCATCCGGGCTTGGAGAGTCGGCCGGGAAAGGTCAGGAAGTTGCCGTGACTAAAACCTTTTGCATCCAGGACTCTTGCAAGCAGCCGGTGACTAAACCCTAAACCCCTAAACCCTAAACCCTAAACCCCTAAACCCTAAACCCTAAACCCTAAACCCCTAAACCCACCTGAATGCAGAGCTTCGACTCGAAGAGGCCCTTGGGATGGCTTGGAAACTCGTGTTTTTTTGTATGGGGGCTTTTTCTTTATTTCCATAGGGCTTCGGGGGAATATTATACTATAACTATAAGGAACCCCCACAATAGCATAGCAAGTGCCTAAATAATTACCAATACTATTTTGGTGGTTCCTCATTATACTTATAGTATACTGGGCCCCAAAACCCCTATTCTGATTTTTGCGGCCCCTACAGTAAGGCTGGAGGGCTTGGCTTAAGGCTTAAGGACTTTGCCTTTGGAGTCTCGGAGGTTTTCGATGTCGCGTTTCGGCCCCTGGGCTTCAGGGCATGCAGGAGTTCTTCTCACCATCGTCTTCCTGGGAATGCACCGTGAACTGATAGAGATACTGTTGATGGACAAAATCCTGCATGACCCAAATATAGTATAGTACCATAAATCCCATAGTTTAGGTACATAAGGTCATGCAGGATTTTGTCCATCAACAGTATGTTGGACTTTCTGAAGTCGGGAGGCTTGGCTTCAGGCGGTTCGCAGCTTCCGGTCATGGAGTTTTCAGAAGAGTGAAGATCGGAACCTTAGGAGTCCTACGGAAGGGCACAGCCTGCCCTTGTAGCAGCCAAACCCGAATCCAGATCTCCACACCCCACTCCGAAACTTCAGCCCGAGTGTCTGATGGGACCACGACATTCCACATGTCTGATGCTGAGATGAGCGGGAGGCGTACCTAAGATTCTCAACTCGGATCTCTTTACAGGAGATGGACTCCCAAACTGACTCGACGAGTCCTGGGCTGCAAACATTGAGCCTAGGTTTAGCTGTTGGATGCGGAACTCCGCGGCAAGGCCCAGATAAGGAGATAAAAAGGGTGAGGCTGAGAGGCGTCTTCTAGGGCTGAACAGCTGAGTCGCAAAAGGAAGGAGCTCGCCCCTCTCCTGGCAGTCATGTTACATCTTCAGCCCAGCCTTCATCAATCGTAAACCGTAAACCATACTGCTTCAGCACAGCTGGTTCGGTGTCTGTGCTGGGTCTGAACTACCATTTTGTTGGCTTCTTGACACTGGAAGGAAACAAAGCATCGATTTCTCAGCGTCTGCAAGGAACTACAAACAGTGATAGACAAGTGTGTGAAAATACGGGCGACCACGGAGCAGCTCCAAGAACAACTGTCTCAGGCTGCTTCAGGACTTCAGGGGTGCCGGGGTGCACTCTGAGGGGCTCAGCGGACTTAGCATCCTTCGGGGTTGAGGCATTTACGACTTGAACCCACCATGCAGTCTCCTTGTCGCCAAGAACGGCGAGAAGCCGGACCTCGAAGACCCACACGCACACACCAACACCCAGAGATTTGGAGTGGGGCCTAGAGAAGTGAGACATCTAATGTAGGGGCCTTAATGATTAGAATAGAGTTTTGGAGCCCAATACACCATAATTATAATAAGGAACCCGGAAAAACAGAATATTTAGGCTCCTATATTGCTGTAAGGTAGACTTAAGGACTGAAGGACTCCCCGATCTCAGGCGCACCCCAATCTCCATGGTGCGCACCGCGGATTGCAGACTCCAAGCGTGAAGACCCCACATCCCAAGTTCCGAATTCCGACGGGTTAGGGTTTAGGGTTTAGGGTTCAGGGTTTTTTTTTTGTTGCACGACCCTTTTCCCCTCGCCGAGTGTTCACCAAGGGGAAAGCGGAGTTCCGCTGGGTGTTTGGAACCACAGGGTGGAAAGCGCACCGACATAGCAGCAGGACCTAGACCTCAAGAGGGGGGCCATCAGTTGCAGACATCACAGCGAAAACGCGGAGTTACATATCAGCGGGACCGGGTCCCCCAGAGGAAGAGCGGACAGCTGCTATGTCTCACAGCCACTTCTACCTGTCAGCTAGTCCAGTCACGTATCACAGGTCTGATCAGCCACGAGCCACGAAAGGCCGACAGCAACAGTTCACAGCAAAAACCGCACCAGACCTAAGGGTTACACACTTCCAACCTGGCATTCTCCCTGATACGTTAGACCGTCAAAATTGCTTGCGCATTCGACACAGCCTCCGTGACCTATGCCCCCGGCTTCGAGAGTGCCTCCGAAGCCTCAGTACGGCACCTCTGCGCCAAAGAGCTGATCAGATCCTGCCCTCCGAGTGCCATGAGAGTCGCTGAGGGAACCCGGCCTGCCTTCCATTCGGCATACAATTCCTCCGAAGAGAGGCCCTGAAGATGCCTGAACCTTTCCATCTCAGGGTCAGCATGGTTCCCCTCATTGTCATCGCCCACAGCAGTCATGTCCACTTGGGTCGCCATAGCTGTGTCAGACGGCTCCGCGAAGCTGCCTCGAAGCGCACCAGCTGGCCACGAACTCGCAGAGGAGGAAGCAAGCACAGGTACATCACCATGTTGGGGTCCCGGGGCCACCACTGTGCTGGCCTCGCTGCCACGGGTGTCATCGTCGGAGGGCAAGCGAAGATGGAGCTGTATTGTGCTCGAAGGACCAAGGCTCACCCTTGACGTGGTACTGGGCCCCGTCGTGTCCCCCGTGGAGTACACCTGGATCTCCAGGTACGGGCGCTTTCTGGCGGCACTTGGGGCGGCCAACGCTTCCGCCATCGTCCAGTCCTCCCACGCCTGGTACCTTGCCGCCTCCATTTCTCTCGATTGCTGCAGGGCCGCTTGCAAGTCGCCTTCCGCCGCTTTTTCCTCCATGTAGTCCAAGTAGCGCTGTTCGTCTTCTCGGAAGGCCGCGAGCTCTTGCTGTTCATGCCAGGCTTGGGTGCTCTCCCGGTCATCCTCCCCGTTGTTTGTGGTGTGTAGGGAGTCGTTGACCACAATCTCCCCGTCCAGGACCTTGTCGTGCTCTTCAAAGGGTGGCGGGAGGACCGCTTTCAACTGCCCCCACCAGCGCGCGACGAAGATGTCATCCTCGTTGTCCATTGCACACACTGTGTCCTCGCCGTCATCTGCAACAGAATGCGCAGCAAGGAGAGCTTCGGCTCCCTCAGCGGCTCCCGGCAACAGGCGGCGGGAGCCGTCGGCCGTGAAATGGCGGCGCAGTTTGTGCAGCAGCGTGAGTCCCCTGCGGACCCTTGAGGGAAGTGGGAGCTGGGACAGCCGCAGATCCAGCGCCTGCGACACAGCGTGCAGTCCACCCATTTGGCCCACGGAGCCAGTCTGCATCAGGCCTGTCTCTTCGCTCTCTCCCAGCGTGGCCTCCTCTGCTTGGGATACGGCTGACAAGGTTGCCAGGGGGCATCGACGGAGGACCGTGTAGGTGGTGTCCCCCGGGCGGATGCCATCGACCGCATTGAAGATCCCCACCGGAGCCGCGGGGCCACCGTCCTGCGGAGTGAATTGTCTGGTCCAATCCTCCCAGCAGAGGTTCTCCACTCACTGGGCCCATTCCACGTCCGCGGCGGAGGGGTGCGGGTCATCATGTCGCGGGCAATGCTCCTCGAGGTACTTGACAAACAGAGACAGGTAGTCCATGTAGCTTCTTACCCCTCTGTGTTCTCCGAGCTGTGCCAGGTGCCCGATCGTCCGCAGCCGCCCTTCACCCCTGTCCCACAGAACTCGTACTCGAGCTTCGGCCTCCGGCCACCATTTATGGCCCAGAAACCATTCCCCGAGGCGGGCCGGAGAGCGGCTCCGCGAGGTACTCCGGGGCATTGCACGTTCTGTCCTTCGTCTTGGGGTGGGGGAGAGCCGGGGCGATGCTGGAACCTGCGATGGGCTCGTAGAGGTGCCTGAGCTTGAGGAGGAGGGCGAGCGGGAGGGGCCACTTCCTTGCGGCCTCTCCGTTTGAACCATGGCCACAGAGTCAGCGTTGTCATAGTGTGCGGCTCCCTGCAGGGGAGCACGTTCGGAGGTCACCATGGTCGTCTGGAGCAGCGGCACCTCGTCCTCATCAACGAGGACCTCCACCCAGTCCACATCCTCTACAATCTCAGCTGGGGGGTTGTCACGGGGTCTGGTTGGTCTCGTTGCTCTCGCTTTCCTCTTAGGCCTTGGGTTGGCGGTAGGTGGAGAGGAGGAGGAGCCCATAGGTCTCGAGCTGGGTCGGGCCCTTGGTGCGGAGGAGGGGGTAGACGGAGCAGGCCTGGAGGTACGTGGTGAGGTCGACGATGTAGCGCCCGACGGTGGTGGCCTCTCATGAGAGCTTGCGGCCGCCGATCCCGGGGGAGGCAGCTGGGTCATGAGTTGTTCCAGCTCGTCTCCTAGACGGTTCAGGCACTCCTCCAAGGCGTCATGCATGAGGCGTCTGCCACGGCTGGACATTGGGATCATCCGTTCAATGAGTGCAAACTGCATGGATTCCGGGATGAAGGTGGGGAGCGAGTCCTCCGGGGGGTCCAGCTCGTTCAGCCCGAGGATGTCGCCCAGGACGCCAACCGCGTCATCCACTGTGCGCGGCTCCCCCACGCATGGGGGGTGAACCGACCTGTAAGATCTGCCGTCTGCCGTCAGCACCACGTAGCTCTGGCTGTTCCTGCGCGATGTCGCACCTGAGGGGCCCACAAGGCGGGCCGTCCGTCTCGTTCTCCAGGGTGCCGATCCTGAGGCTCCGTTGTCCATGAGGGCCGTGGCATCCCCAGAGGCGTCCAGGTCTTCCCTTGCTCGGGCGGCGTTGGCCGCATGAACCATCCTGGCGTAGATGCCTCGATCCATCTGCGGTAGGGCTTCATCAGGATGTGCGCATTGGGGACCTCGTCCGAGTCCACGGTCGGCAGGAGGAGCTCCGCAAGATGCCGTCGGAGGCCGTCCTGAGGGGAGGGGTCAAATCGGATGAAGAGCTCGATTTCCCGTCTGATCCCGTTGGCCACCGCTTCAGCTCGTTCCGGGTTGTCCTCGTGAATGTCATCCAAGGTTCTCGAGATGTGGTCGATCAGCACCTCACCCGCCTGTGATAGGTCTTCTCGTTGGGACGCCCGCCGGCGCTTAGCACGGCGAAGGCGCTCCGTGGTGGTGAGGGCTGGTGCCCGGCTGGATGGCAATGCGGCGCTCCCCGAAGCCGAGGCGGGCCCTGGCCCAGGGTCCCCACTGCAGCTGGCGGTCTCGGGCTCGCGAGTATTCTCTGCTTCCTCCGTCACTGGGGAGGGGGCTATGTCTGCGGGGTTCTCCACGTGGGCCCGCGGCCTATCGTTGTGCTCGTTGTGCTCGTGGTGCTGAGGTAGTAGGCGATGCTCCGAACTGTACAGGCGTGCTCGCTCAGGGGGAAGTGCATTGGTATCATATGGAGAGGTCGGCACAGCACCATTCCGTTCGGAAGGAGGTCCGGCGCGACCAACATGTAGGACTGCCGTCACGGTCAGTAACACGAAAGAAAGGAATCCAACCATCATGAGGTCACGATGCCGCAGAGGCGGAGGGATCCAAGCTGGCGCGAGGGCGCTTGGAGCCAGTAGGGCCACCACATCAGTCAGGAGCATTTCGGTGCAGAGCGCACCGGGTACGGCGCCTTCACTTGCATGTCAGCCCTTCCCAGCCCAGCACCAGCATCTACCAGCCGAAGTCCCGCACACGTCTGCACTGTCATGACGATCCTAGTTGAGGGCAAGTTGACGGCCCGAAGCCCACGGAACATCAACCAGGGCAACCCAAGTACCCATCTTGCCTGCCCACTGCTGCCGATTCTGGGCCAGCACTCGCCAGGGGCCGCCTGCAGCATCGTCGAGGCACTGTTCCGCTAACATGAGCCGGGGGTAGAATCTCTCTGGATGCTTCACTCTGACCTGCTTGTTCTTCTTCTTTTCGTTCTCCCACCATTCCCGGGATCTATAAGCGCAGACCAGTGCTGCCGCTGAGCACGGCGATTGCAGCAGACCGCGAGCCAAGTGCCCAAGGTAGCCCCAGTGCCGCTCACACCAGATTGTGGACCACCGCCGGTGCCTTCCCTGCCACAAGACGCCCCGTGCCGCCCGAAACGCCTTCTTCCTAAAGGTGAGCCACCCTTCCGAGCCTCTCTTGAGGCCCATCATGGAGATAACAAGCTGCAATTGAAAGGTGTTGATCATGTGCATGGCGCTGGACTCTGGGCCGAAGGCGCTTACACACCACAGTCCACACCCTGCCACCACCCGTTCCATCAGGCGGATGCGTGCATGAAGGGGGGACCTTGCACAGAGCAGCTTTTTCATGCTCCAGAAGACCTCCCTGGCCCTGGCCAACAAGCCCGATAGCACCTCGCACATAGTGGCGTTGGTGTGTAGCTGAAGTCCCATTACCGTAAGGGTGTCCCTGGCTGCCAACGTGGTGCCGTGAACCGAGATCTGCCGAGGGCCTGTATTATGAGGGCTGATGTAGAGCTCACATTTGGAGAGGTTCAAGCGGAGACCACAGTTCAAGAGGCGCCGAGACCACTGCTCCACCCTGGTTGCTAGACTATGGACACAGCTATTCCACAAAATGCCGTCATCAACGAAAAGCATCTCACTCAGGGAGAGGCCGGGGAGGGCTGGGTCCTGTCTGCTCCACTGACACTCAGATGCTGCCGTTTCCAGCGTGAGCTCTGCCAGGCAGGAGAAGAAGAGGGGGTACTCAATCGAACCCTGACGGATACCTCTCTGGACCTCGAGCGAAGATCTGCCCCACGGTGTTTCCAGAGCCGCCGTCGACCTGGCCATCAACTTTTGCCAGATCCGCACGCAGCTCGTAGGAGCAACCCAGTCTGCTCTCGAGGTACTTGCACAGCGCCGGTCTGCTCACAAAATCGAAAGCTTTCTCTAAATCGATCTTTAGAAACACCAGTCCAGCATGCCACTCCCTATCCAAACTCATCAGTCTCTGTGCACAAAACACATAATCCGAAGTTTGCCGGGAGGGACCCGAGAGCTGACAGTGACCGATGGGTCTGACCCCTTGCTTGGCACGTTGTAACAGCACCCGGCAAAAGGTCTTGCTCACCGCCGAGGAGAGAGACAGGGGTCTGAGTTCTTTCGGGGTCGTGGGCATGGCGGTTTTCGGGATCACGATCATGAGGGCACGATGCCAGTCTTCAGGGATGTCCCCCGTGAACAGCAAGTGATTGAACCAGGCTAGAAGGGCAACTGCCCCCCCTTCGGCCCGCATGACCCCCTTCACCAGCTCTTGTGACGTGCCATCCTCAGCCACACTTACCCCATTCTTGCCGAGGTTGACCGCTAGCTCTAGTTCGTCCATGGAAATGGGTATGAAGGGCAGTTGGGGTTCCGAGACCGCCACGGCCTCCGGCGATCGGTAGATGCCCTGCAGATGGTCATGCACCACCCGGTGGGGGTCAGCGTTGGCGTCTGCAAACCCAACCTCCCAGTCATCAGTGGCCTTCTTCCGGAACTTTTTAAAAGCAGTCCAGTCACCCTGTACCGCGTCTCGCAGCTTACCCTGTTCCCACTTCTCTCTGGCTCGCCGCCGTGCCTGGAAAGCACGCTTCCAGTCCTCCTTGTCGCGGCTGAAGCGGGCCATCCTGAAGAGCGTCTTTACATCCTCAGCGTCCTTATAGCTCACCCCTGTCTTCGGCTTGGTATGCGACCGTGCCAGTTCGACCAGTTCAGGCTGAGAGAGGGACTGAATCGGGGGAAGCTCGGAAGCAAGGGCACGCGGGCGGGTATCAGTGCGCCGTCGCTTCTCAATTTGCTTGGGTTGCACACTGAGACGCAAGACCTCATGGTCGGTGCTGATGACCGAATGGCTCCCCCGAACAATCTCAATTTGCCCTGTGCGGATACGGGCTGATGCCATGAAGTCAATCTGCCGGCCCTGCCTGTCTGCCTGCCGCGGCTGCGTAGTCGGAGAGGTCCTCAGGTGCAGCAGCGGGGGGCATACCTGAAGGGCCCGAGAACCCATCCAGTGGAGGAGACCTTGGGTTTTTCCATTCCGTTCCACAGGCAGGGGAAGTCTGTTGTGGTCTTCGCCCCACGAGATATCTGAGTTAGAATCCCCAGACACCAGTACCGGGAGGTGTGTTGCCGGTAGCACCCGAAGGAAGTCCTGCAACGAAACAGAGTGTTCGTCCTGAGTCAATTCCGGTTTCAAGTAGACCGATCCAACCCACAGCTCCGTCCCACGTTGTGCATGCTGGAGCCTGAACCATGTGCCCTTACCGCTAGAGAGGCGGCGCATCACCTTCCATACTGCCGGCTTAAACATGATACCTGTACCCCTCCACTGGTCATCCGCTCGGTGCCCAACGATTTTCCACTGCTCACGAGTCAGCTGCTGCCACCCCGGTGTAGAACGTGGGAGCTCTTGCAAGATAGCGATGGAGTCCTCTTGAAGGTCACCCTGCACCGCCTCGCGGAGTTTTTTCGGGAAGTCCTCTAGGGACGCCCCGCCGACGTTCCACCCAAGTAGGTTCAGCCAAGGACTGTCATCAGCCTCTTTCCGTCAGAAACGGTGGTTTTTGACTTCATCTTCAACCGTCTGCAGGGAGACCTTGAGGTGCTTGGCAATCGAGGTCTCGTCGATCCATCCCGAGCCTGCGCGGGTATCAACCTCCGTGTTCCCCGAGCGCTCCGGTGATCCGATCCCAGCTACCTGGAGGTCACCAAGCCAGGCTGCTCCAGCAAAGTAATCCAGGTCTACCTCCGGGAGCGACGACGGCCTGTGATTTGCCACAATCTTCTTGACACACCCTGCCAGGCTGGCGCGCCCCCGCTCAGCCGGGGTGCGGGAGAAAGATGCCCAAAGGGCCCGCTTCCCTCCTTGGAGCTGAAGCGCAGCTTTGTTGATCTCCGTGATGACGTCCAGCATGCGCCGTCTCAGGTCACTGGGAAGCTCGCCTCGTCTCGTTGCAAAGTGACACAGGGCAACCGCTCTTCTGGGTCCGGTCGTGAAGGGGTCATTGTCGAACTGGTGCCGGAGCTGAAGATGGTCGATAGATTGAGCTAACTGGTGCAACACCGTCTGGCGCCTGGTGTTCTCCATCCACCCCCCGAACACGAGGGTGGTTTTCCTCAGGTCGCCTCCCGCCGTACCTCCAGCTGGCCCCCTCTCTTCCAGGCTCTGAATCCGGTTCACTGCTGCGCGGAGCTGTTCCTCTAGTCCTGCTGTGCGAGACTCATTCTGATCAAGCTTCGCCTCCAAGCGGTCCATCTTCACCTCCTGCCGGGTCTCGAGCTCCTGCAGAGCATTCTTAAGCGACGCCTCCTGGGCTTCCAAGAGAGAGGCGCTCTGTTGCGCAAGCAGCATCTGCAGCGTCTGCACCGTAAGCCCGACCTGCTCATCAGAAGAGGTCTCTGCTGTCGGCCCTCCCTTGGGCCTCTTGGCGGGGCTCTCTGTCCTCCTCGCCGTCCGCTGCTTATTGGTCGGGGGACGTTCCTCCAGGTCCTCATCAGGTAGGTCTGGGATCCCCCCAGGCAGGGAGGCCACAAACTTAGCCATCGGCCCCCAGACTCAGAACTCGGCGATGAGCTCACGGGTGATCGGGTAGAACAGTTCGACGAGTAGGCCTTGGACCGATCTGGCCGTGGGAGACCTCCCGACTCGACGCCGGCACGCCCACCAAGCGCACGCAGCGCTGCAGCAGCAGTGAGAGAGACAGGCACACGCCTATCAGACAGCTAACCCCGGGCCACGCTTGAGCCAAAGGGTTCAGGGTTTAGGGTTTAGGCTTCCACAGTAAAACAGGAGCCAGATACCGAAGCTGCCCACGGCCCTGAAACTGAGAACCCGACGGTAAGCCAAGTTTGCTGAAGCTGCTGAGGATTAACACGGTTAAAGCATACCGAACATGACGTACTGGCGAACAGAAGAACTGCTGCGGCCACAAACAGCTCAGCTCGGGACCAGAGTCACCTCCGAGACATTGGACACGCTCGACCTCAATCAAACAATTACAGTAAGCTTTTTGCAGTTGAGCATTTCTTATATGGACGGAACCCCAGTGCAAGAAGCGGCGCAAAAGGATCCAGAGAACCCCACATCGCATGGCTGATTCCCTCCTTCACCCTACATCCTTACATCACCTCACATACCGGAACGTGGGCTCCCGGGGAGGATCCGCTACTGCTACCAAAGTCGCACGAAGAGGTGCCTCAGCCTCGGTGCGGTTCAACAAACGGAACTTTGGGGATTTTGGGGTTTGGAACATCTAACATCTTGGCTCTTGGATTCAAGGACGCAGCAGGGGGAAAAGTAGGAAGTGGGGGAAGGTGCGGGTCTTTGCTATTATGTCCACTGGCCGCACGCCTCGGTGACAGGACCGAGCTGCAGTCTGGTTCACTCCAGAGTTCAACACAGCTCAAAGTTGCGCTCAAAACCTGCACGACTCAATCCGCTTTCGTACATGCAAATATTCCATGCGATCCGAAAACTTATATACCCCCGCCATTTTTTGGGAAGCACACTTTGTTTTTTTGGGCAGGTTAAAACCTTCGTCGCAGCAGAAAAGCTAACGGACTATACTCGATGTCGTATACTATACCAGGGCATGTGAGCGTGCTGTGCAGAAACTATGTAAAGGAGCATTCCATGACGACGATTCCCGTTGGTTTCCGGCCAGTGGCCGACAAAGACGACGTCCGGCAACACGTCACTGGACCAACTCCACGCACCCAAACCGCTTTGAGCATAGCCAGGGAACAGCGTGTAGGGCAGCAGACGCACTGCTGCAGCCGGGTCCTGGGATGCGTTGCTGAACTCGATCCCGGCACAGAGTCCTTCTTCTCAACCACACCAAACTTCAAGACTTTGGGATGCAGATACTCGACCCGGGCTTACCTGCCCTGTCTCTTCACATCCCGGTACAGCCGGGCCGAACCAGCAGACAATGCAACAACCCCGTCGTCAAGCCCCCTGAACCTCAAAGAGTCTCACCCTTCATCTGCAAGGCTCCGTCAAGCTTTCGTCGGCCTTTGCACCCAAAACGCACCAAGCCCTCCGAAGCTGCTCTGACCTGCTCGGCGAAGCCCGAAGGCTAGGACTTGCATCTTTGGAATTTGCTTTTTTGTTTGGTGGTTCGCGGTTTTAGGGTTTAGGCTCCAGTTTGAGCTGATGACAAGGGCATGTTAATGGGATCAATATAGGCTTAAAGCAATGCTGTCTGAGCAAACCGCATGACATGGGCGAAAAACAGGTTGCAAGCATTTACTTGCAAGTATGCGCCACAAGGGATCACCCTGGCAAATCCCAACAGTGTGAAATTCATGTACTTGGCCACCTACTTGTAGCCAAAATTGAACAGCTTACTCAAACGATCAAGATATCAATATGCGGATGGATGGATGGATGGATGGATGGATGGATGGATGGATGGATGGATGGATGGATGGATGGATGGATGGATGGACGGATGGATGGATGGAGGGCCAATGGACGGATGGATGGATGGATGGATGGATGGATGGATGGATGGATGGATGGATGGATGGATGGATGGATGGATGGATGGATGGATGGATGGCCAATGGATGGATGGATGAATGGATGGATGGACGGACGGACGGATAGACGGATGGATGTGTGCATGTACGTACGTATGTATACGTACAAAGATATGCAATCCGCACTGCGCTGGCGAGCACGAGAACATGGATGAAAGTATGTAGCAATGTAGCAGTCGCCGTGGCACAGACGGCATGCAAGGGGCAAACTTGAACCAGCCTCAAGAACGTTGACAGGCAAACCAGAGGACTGTAGTCCCAAAGCCCCTCACTTGACGGCACCAACCAAACCAACAGCGACGACGGTGATTAAAGAGGCTGATTCGGACGACTTGTAGAACAGTCGAAGTCATTATGACGACTCTGCGCCAGACCCCTGAAGAATGAATGCTGACACGTCACGGAATGCGAGGAAAACTCAAGAATCTGGAGATCAAGTGACATGTCAACCTTCAAAGCTCCAGTTCGATGCAAAGCGGCAGCCCGTGCTTCACACAGACATGAATCATCTCCACCTGAGGCAGCTTCCTCTGTTTCATCTGGCACATACGCTTTGAATCATTTGCAATAGAGCAGAAGCGATTAAATTTGACTTGCTGCTTATGGCCGGGACACCGAAAAGCTGCGGGTGTGCAACTAGCACCCCGAACTATGGACTGGGCAACCTTTTTGCCCCTGTGGCCTTGGCATGCATCGACACTCAAAACTCCTGGGGCTTTCGTAAAGCCAGGTGTCCCTTGTTCAGGGCATTTTTAAAATGAGAAACCTACATCAGGGCATTTTTAAAATGAGAAACCTACACTTTGGTCGTTTTGAGGGAATTGGGTCCCTTCTCTTCTGACGCTCCCTGCCCTCCCGGGCACTGAAACTCCCAAACCCCAGAGTCTCTCCGAGCTGCGCAGTTCTTGGGGATGATCTCGACCTGACCACTCGCACTCTGACCAGACGGCTGGGTTGTTTTCGCTTTTTGTTGGGTCTGTGTCGATCTTTTTGGCACTCTTTAGATCTTATCACCCTGCAAGGACAAACCGGCCTAGGAGTGGCAGCATGGCCGACCGAGCGCATTCTGCCATCCATCAGATCTCACTAGGGCCCAAGCCTTTTGAAGGCACTCTTCGCACTTGGCTGCCAGGTCCTGGGCACACTCTCGGAATGGCCAGGCAGGTCCATCTCAAGTCCACTCACCACAACGCACATGCAACGATCAACGACCTAGGCATGAACACTTCTAGCTTTGTAAGGAGGCGTACCATGCATAAATGCAGCATAAATGCATAACTTCTCTTTCGCCCTCTGGGACTGCCAACATTACACGACTGGTGACTTTTTGAGGAAGGGCTGCAGTGCACATGCGTTAACTGTTGCCCACAATTGTCGAAGGTCATCCTCTAACACCACGACTGAACACTGGCGAAGACTTGAAGTAAGGCCTGCAGTTTTTTGGCTCGAAGCATGGTTCAAGTTCACGACTCCGGAATACCCTCCAGCTGCACAAAGTGGATCCAGCCGTCAGCCTATAAGTAAAATCAAGATCACAGGTACGCATGCTGGAAGCTTTTATATCGCGACAGCATCAACAACCCTGGCCCTATCATCTCTTTGGAGCCTTGGCTCCTGAAAACCTCATCCTGATTCATTGTTATAGACCAGTAGACTCTTGAGACTGCAGCATCTCAATGCCCCTAGCCGCTCAAAGCCTGGAGCCGTTGCAGCTGAAGCCTTCCATGCCAGGCCACAGGGGTCTGAAAGTATTGAGCTGCTGAGAGAAGGTCGGAGAGCTGCACCAGAGAGTCCTGGGTTTGGGCTCGGGTTGTACGGATTTCACTCACTGTCCACAAAGCCCAGGGGCGCTTCGTGGTGTTTGTGAGGCTTTGCATCTGCAGTACGGGTAGTCTTCACATTTGCACGCCCAACTTGCTGATACAACACGTGGTCTTCTGGAGATCCAGAAGAATTAAGGGGTTGTCCGCAGCATGCGGCCAAGCCCTATCCTGCAGCCCAGAACCCAGAGCCCTGCTACCGCAAAGCCCATGAGCCTTCAGCCTCGGGGCACGACAACCCCAACAGATCATATCCTTACATCGAAGCAGTCCCGGCCCAGCTTGTTGCACAATCCGTGCAAGTTGCGATCTTGACCTCCATCGTGTGGACATAGATGAGATACCTAACTGCGAGAGCTGCATCCTCCCATCCCGTGCTCAGAGTTCCAGGTAAAACTGAATCCCCCCAACAAATCCAAATGAAGCCCCATTCAAGCATAAACCAAACCGTGCACGGCGTAGACATCCCTAAGCAAATTTAAGCGTGTCAAGAAACGAGCGAAATGCCGCACCAAACTCGTCGAACTGCGCCTGGGCTGCAAGTGTCCAAAAGATCTTATGAGTTGTTTAAGCTTCGCTTGGGGCTTAGTTGGGACCAGGTCCTCAAAGATGCAATCCCGATTTTCAGGCCGAGCCCACAACTTCATCACCGACTTCGGGACCCTCACACACACTCTGCCTGCAGACGTTGCTAGACTAGCTAAAGCAGCGTGTGGTCCGGAACAGGAACGGGGTGATGGCCCGGCATAAAGCATGACACTTGGTGCAAGCTCAGTTACGAGGACAATGGGCTCCTTTGCCTGCGCCTGCTGTCGGTGCGGACATGGACGGTAGGTCCGCGCATTTCTAGCTTTTCCCTAGTTGGACGTAGTGCGTGGCGCGAGGTCTGGGGATGCCACATAATCCGGCTGGGCAAAACTACGATGTCCTCGGAGGCCGAGGAAAGACATTCCGAGGGCGCGTTATTTGACAAGTTTGCTAGGGTCCTTTTGAAGGTGCTGGAAGCGCGTGCAAACGCTTCATAAACCGAGATTTGGGGTTTCCTGGTGGATCTTTAGCGAGCGAATCCTAACTAAACCCATTTGATGCTGAGTCTGATGTTTAAAGACACACCGATGAAACACCACAACATTGGCACGTACACTGTGCACTTTACAAGATCGCGCAGGTCCTCGTCACAATCACAACTACAATCCCGCCTGAAAGCCTCCATGAGGGCTCTCCACAGTAGCCCGACTGAGATTTGCGACCTTTTATAGCACCGACAAAGGAAAAGCTAACAAATTCTTTTCTCCCCAATCTTAACGTCACAAACTGCATTTGGGGCCTCCGAGAAGTCCCCGAAGAGCATGCGTTCGAAGAAGCTGCTGTGCAGGGCGAGGACCTTCACACAAACAGTAGCATCAGGTTGGCGGCAGGACAGCCGTGGCAGACGTAGAAGTATTAGCAACAGCAAAAGCACTGGTAGCGCTGGTAGTAGTCGTCGTCGTCGTAGCAATATTTTTGTCTCCCACTCGGCACATCAACGACAGCACTGCAGAGTCTTGGCGACTGCGTTACCAGAAAGAGGGTCTTTCATGAGCGAAGCAGCCAACGCGAAACACACCAACCACCAATATCCACGCAAGATCTTCTGTGTGGGGACAAGCCGCTTTTGTGACAACCGAAGGTCCTGTTTGCGGGCTCTGCCAGGTCATCGCGACAGCATGCACACAAGTCATTCCAACATTCGAGTTTTCAACATTAGGCAACTTAAATCATCTCCATCAGAGTTCTCCGGGCAGCAGCCACACAAGTCCCAATAACCCTAGTTCAGAAGCTCACCACACAGTGACCAGAAACCCTCTCTAACGGAGTCACAGTGCCTTAAGACAGCATTCATCATGCAATGTAGGCACCAATTAAGCCAGTCTGAACACGATGCGATTCAGACGCGAATTGCCAAAACATTTAAGGCGAGTACCACGTGCAAATTTATGCGTGGTCGTCGCTCCTGTAGGCTGAAAAACCGAGAAGCAACCCACCCCCGTAAGAGCAAGCACCAAGGAAACAAACATGAGGAACGTCCGCGATCACACACGACTGCTATCTTCGCTACATGCTTCTACCGGGGTCGCTTTACTTGACATACCCACAAATCTAGAAAACCCTATTGGCCCTATAAGGCCGCTCACCAACAGCTACCCAACCACACTTGTCGCGACCGTTCCTCACTCATGAGACAGCGCCATGGATCGTCCTCCCAATGCATAGTGGCATTGGGGGGACAGACAAATGATCCAAGTCTCCTGCACTCGTCGGCAGGGTCTCACTTTGTCGTCATCGTAGCGTCTCCACAACTCTGCAACTCTCCAGCATGTGTGTCCTGACAGACCAGCTGTGTCACTCCACAGCACATCCGCGTTCCCACAGGCGAGTGTGTGGTGTGTTGCATCGACATTCCATTCTTTTGGGGTAGACACACCCCGCATCCTCGATGACTGGTGTGTTGCAGCGCGACTGTTCGCTCCATTGGCCGACCATGTCTCGGTCTTCGTCGGCTCCTCCAAGGTCGTCTGTGGAGTGGCCTTGTTTGTTTGTTTGTTTTAGGCTTCCACCACCAATCCTCGAAGCTTCACCATATTTTGTCACAGTCTAGTCCCGTAACTCTGGAAGTGGCACAGGACTGTGGGCTGACTATGTTTCTGACACTCACTTGGCACGCTGTCGACGGCACTGCCCGGTCTTGACTATCCACGAGTTTCCGGAAAAGCAGTCTAGCATCACGAGACACGAAAACCAAAACCCAAAGAAAGGTTCACCTGCCAGGCTGGATCCCCGGGGAGATTTCCAAAAGTCACGACGACTGCGTTTGGTTATGCTCTCACCCCAACGTCCAGGGACATCGTTGCATCAGCATATATATATATATATCTGCTGTCGCTGTCGCTGGTGCTCCTGCTACGTCTACCGCTACCGCTACGCACCGGCACCCGTAGCAGTAGTAACAACAGTAGCCGTAGTGTTAATAGTGGTAGTCGTGGTAGACTAGTCGTAGTAGTGAAATAGCGGATGTAACAGAAGTAGCAGCGGCAGCGGTAGTCGTAGCAACGTGCGTGGTCGTAGTAGTTTTTGTGGTCGTAGAAGTAGTAGTAGTCGTCGTCGTCGTGGCGGTGGTGGTGCTAGTGGTGGTAGGAGTAGTCGCCGTCGTCGTAGTAGTGTCAATTGCAGAAGTAGCAGTAGCTGTAGCTGCTACTACAGGCCCACTAAGAAGCCATCACATCTCTGCACCCCACCCCTCGAAGGGCGCCGTAGGTCTTCCCCCCCACGGCGAAGAAGACATCTCCACGACCTGCGAAGTAGGTCTTCGGCTCCAGGATTCAATAAAACCTTACATCAGAGCAACCCGGGCGTCCTAGACGAGGGCCTGCCACCTTCTTGTAACAAGTGCCAAGGGATCATACTCGCAGTCTCTCTGCCCAAATGAGAGGCAAACGTACAATTTCAAGCCGCTCTTGCTTTTTGTCTAAACTCTCGACACTGTCATACTCAATTGTCCTGGTGGGCTAAGGGTCCCGTTAGAGCAAGCACTGCATGCCCTGCACGTTTGAAACCTGAAACCCTTAAGAGAGCCACGAACCGGCATCCGAAAAGCCCTTACGAGAGCCCTAAAAGCCCAAAGCCTAAACCCCCAAACGCCCCGAACCTGTCAGTTCGACCAAGAGTTGAGCAGCCCCAGAGGGCCAAGCAGTTCCGAAGCTCCTTGTAACCCCCAAAAGCCCGGATCCTATGCTACAAGGTAGGTAGGAAGTCTGCACTGGTGCCAGGTCCCGAGCCCTAATCTTGCCACAACATCCTGCGCTAAACTTGTTTCCGTCTGTGGCTTCCGTAACTGCTCATCTTCGGTTGTGGCAACGTGTCTGATTGCCATCTTGCCCTGCTCGGTCAACACAGACGGCTATTACGTGTCTTAAACCTGGTCGAAGAGCAAAGGCCGACAACAAAGAAACCCCCTTTCTCATGCAAGAGAAATACTGACGATTCGACATGTGTGGTGAAACGGCTCAAGGCACGTGCCGTTTCACTCACGCGGCACGAACTGCCCCATACTCCACTAGCACGAAAAAGAGCCCTTCTGGAACGAGGTAGCCATGGCAGTCTCAAATTCATGTCTATGTCTATGTAGTGGATCGTATTCATAAAAATTCATGGGGAAATTGGCCCGGTCTCTACCGGGCCTTGGTCGGTATCGTCCACGACGCGCACGAGGCGCTCTGACAAGCCACCGCCCTCATCTCGGAGCCTTGTGCCATGGTTTCAGGCTGGGCTGGGCTTGGTTTGGAGTCTGGGGGTCTACAGCTACACTGCACTTCTCGGCTGCTGCAAGGTTTTCTTGACCAAAGGAAAAAAGGAACCACGCTGATTTGTCTGGAGCGCCGAGAGCAGAACATTTCGTCTCTTCAAGCAGAATCCAGCACAAAATTGCGGTCGGGCAACACTGTCAGAACGAGAACAACCACCAATCACCGACCACCACGACCACAAGCACCGCCATAATAATCATTACCGTAAACCCCAAACAACTAAACCCTAAACCAGAAACTCTTGCTGGCCTCCTTCCTACGATCTCCAAGGCACGTAAACATCGCTCGCTGCTCTGCTCGGCTCTCGCATCATTGCCAAGCGGGGCTCTACCAACGATGAAGTGCATGTACAGTTTGTCACTTTGAGCTTTTCGGGGTTCAGGGCTACAGGGTTCTGGGGCTCTGTTATTCCTGAAGCTCTCGTCAAAGAAGCCTCAGATGTGGAAGCTTGCTTCCTTGAAGTCACGAACACAAGAGCATAGCTTCAAAAGGATGGAGGCCCGTCTCAAGACCTTGGCTTCAAGGCTGTCCGAGCCAAGTGGGAGCCGGGCCGACATGCCTACTTGTGAGGCTTAGGGTCCTGCCTATTCGGCCTATTCAGCTGGGATGCTGGGGTTTCGGTGTCGTGTGGCTCTACGAGGAAAAGATCGAATCGTGATCTTTCCGACTGGCCTTCAAACCTGCGACCCAAGGATTTGCAGGGCCCATCAGCCTCTCCCCTTCAGGAGGAAAGCAGGTCACATGCTTAGAAACACTTTAGAAGCAGCCATCGAAGCCGCCATGAGGATAAAGCAAGCGCTGGAAACAAAGAAGAAGGGTGCCCGTAATAATTAGAACCAGGTTTCTGCGTACATAGCACTACAAGTGTAAGAAGGAACGCCAAGGAACAAGATTGATAATTTGTCCAGCCTCTGTAAATCATGCACTTCGTGGAACCCGGCCAGCCTCCCGGCTGATCTTGCTTTAAGGATCGAACCGACTCCCTAAGCACTTAGTGCTTATATAGGAGTTTTAGGGCATTTTTCCCACCCGTTTTCGGGCATAGGGTTTAGGGATGCTGGATACATGGGCTCTGGGGCTATCCGCAACACATCCTTCCACCAAACGCAAGCCTATTCCCCCCTAGTGGCCTCGCGACCGAAACTTTATGAAACCCCAAACCCTAAACCCTAAACCCTAGATCAGGCAATCGACAATTGGCCACCACCTACGAGGCTGCATCCCAACAGTTTTCGCAAGCCGAAACCCTCGCAACAGCACCTGCAAAGCCGTCCAGAACACCCCTACATCCTAAACATTACCCGCTTTGCGAAGACCTTGAACCCCAAACATACACCCCAAACCCAAAACCTAAAGCAACCTGCAGGAAGTCTTGGGATCCAGCGCTCCACTTGAGACAGCTACGGAGTCTGCTGGGAGGAGGAGGGTCCTGGGCCAAATCCTCGGATTCTGCGTCAACAAGCGGGTTAGGGGTGTGTGAAGCGCTTAGGGTTCAGAGTTTAGGGTTTCGGGCTTAGGGCTCTCGAACCAAAGACTTTCGTGATGCCGTGCTTGTTTGGCTTGGGACACCTCCGCCATTTTCGGGGTGCTTTGTGCTGTGGGGCCCGCACACAGCGGCTTCTGAAGGCTCTGTCATCAGTGCTGTCCACTGATGCGTGCGAGCTGTGTACTGCTTCCAGGGCTGCAACTGCACCAAAAAATCAAACAACAAGTAGTAGGATCCAGGACAGCATGATCAACTCCGCCACCCTGCACATCAACAGCAAATGCAGATGCGCGTCAAGTTCAGCACACGGCTGTCCAGGTTGTCCTGCAAGCATAGAGAGTTCAAGCGCAGGTCTGAAAACATGAGGTTGCCATGGCTACTTCTCAAGATGCATGTCTCTCGGCCACATTGCCACCCAGTGAACTGAAGTGCTAGGAAGTGCACTCAGCCCAGACAGGGCATTACTAGCAAGGACCTAGGACCTAGGCATCGTCAACGACACGACCCGCAAGCTCTCGATCATCCTGGACTCTACAAGCCTTCTCCACAGCCCTGAACGCGACAAGCAGCCCGACCACAAAACATATAAGTCCACGCGCCTTGAGGAGGCGATCAAGGCTGCATTTATCCTGGCAGCACGAAAGAAGGAGGCTTGTTCCAAGCATGCAACAACCGAGGAAGAGAAGCGAAAGGGGCTGTAGCCGCCCCACACACTTTGCTCAATCACCAGGGCTTCACGGCTCGAAGACCAAAGGCGAGATTCCAGTTCCAAAGGCTGCAGATGCTAGCAGTGCCCACCCTGCTCCCAGACCGGTTGGAATTATACTGTCTTCCAAAAAAACTCAAACCCGTCAAACATCTAAACACTCTGCCTGCCGCCTGACGCTCCGAAACTCTGGGCAACTGGCCGCCTCCACCAGTGCCCACTGCGGTGCATCGGCGAGGCGGTTGAAGGCCGCTCGAGCAAGCCATGCCTCGTCAGTGGGCGACAGTGTAATTACAAAGAAAAAAGGTGCATTATAGATGAACCTTCAGTTCCTGCGGCAACCACAGTGCTTGTTTCATCTTATCACTTATCCTGTTGACGAGGTCAGGAGCAATCACCGTCGTCATCAGCAGCATCATCACTAGGATCTTCGCTGTCACCACGTTTTATCTCTGCCCTTATCACAGACATGGTCTTGTGACCTGGGTCGGCGACAACGACAACGACGCCCACCACGAAGGGGGTTTCAATGGCTGGGTAGACTGGCCGGAAACCCTACGACCCTGTCCTGTGCAACGAAACCGTATTTTTGCAACGGTCTATCAGAATGTGTATGCACGTGCTGAGTTGCCACGAATGGGCAGACTCATCATTAGGCAATCATTAGGCATTGGCAATTGTTGGCCTCGTCGCTGTCATCGCTCACCTGCATGCCGTGATTCGGAAGGTGCAGGGGGCGGAAACCGAACGACGCAACAGTCGAACACCAGACTCTGAAACCGCAAGAACCCCCTCCGATCCGGCACAACTGCACCTGGGAAGTAGCCGCAACCATCATTGTCTTTCACCTTCTGCCCATGCTCTAAACCCCATCCTGCTAGATTTCCCAACCAACATCCAACACAGGAAACACGAACCGAAAGCTAGCGCGAAGTCCTGACAGCCGTGAACTCCACCCACTCCAACCCACCAATCCTACCACGGATGCCCGAAGCCGCAGATGGCCCCAGACACTTTCTTGGGGGCTGTCGAGCCTGAAGCCTCAGGGAGGTGACATGTCCAAGCGACTTAGGCCCAACGCTGCTCCGTCAAACTTTGGCGGGCGAAATTGGGCTGGAAGGCCTGGCTCTGTGAAAACTTATAACACCACGTAACACCCTTTGACCGAGCCCTTGGACAAAGTCTAGAAAAGGCTAATTAGGAGAAGAGCGCAGCCACACTGCAGCCAGCGTGCCTGAGCCTCCGCCCTGCCCTCCGCACGCCACCGCAAAGTCTCGGCCAGGGGCCGGCGGGCCGCCTCGGCATCCGCGGAAGCACCTCGTGAGCCGAGGTTTCGAGGGGAGCTTTTCAGTCAAAGGGGGTCTTTGTATCAGGGACTGGGTCCTCAGGCTTCAGGGGTTCTGGGTTGGGATATTGGGGATTCCTGCTGAGTGACACCTTCAAGAAGGAAGCTCGAAGGCTGGAAGTCTTCTCTTCCGCAGCTTGGCAAACTCACGTTGCGGTAAAGCAGCTTCGCATTGTCAGCAAACCCCCCACCCCGAACCAGCAAAGCCTAAATTCGAAGGCTTTAGAACCGGATAGGGAGCCAACCACTGAAGTTTCACAGCATCATGCGACGATGCTACAACGCGCTACATGCAATCAGAACGATCCCACCCTTAAACCTAGAGTGTCCTAAACCTCCCCCCTTCTCATCCTGCACCCTACAACAAGCCACATAAAAACACCCAACAGCACCAACCTAGCTGGGGGACTCAGCAGCTCCACCACCCTCCGGCCTTGCAGGTCTGAAACCAGGTTGTTGAAGCAAAGGCCGCTTGAAGACTTGCGGGCAGTTCTCTAAATTAGGGTCCCTTTCAGGGTACTATATAAGGGACCTAAAAGGGGCCCTACCCTTGTAGTAAAAAGGCTGCGGATGTCAGAATCAGCAGAATCGTAGAATTAGGGTTGGAGAAGGGGATACTACCACAAATGACTCATACGTCGCTAATCCATAATAACAGCAACGGCAGCAAGAACGAAGAACAACACAGCAGGATACAACCGGCTGAGCTGATGCTGGGCTGACAGTTACACTGGGATGATGGGCTACTGGGTAGCAAGTTGTCTGGGCTGAAGGGCTCAGTTCTCTCTTCGGAACCGATGCATTCGGGCCCTGCTCAAACCAGACGAACCGTTGAAGCCTCAGACAAATTCCTATCTGTCGATCCACCACCATAAATGTTGAACCCCAGCAGGACCCCAACTCAGTGCAGATTGCCTCCGCAGTTGGTGATGGGCTGCCCTGCGGCGCTGCGGCGGCAAATCGAGGACAGCCACCTCAGTGAGTTGGAGGGTGCAGGGACCTTGGGGCCCGATGTTGTTCGTCCAGATCAAGATAAAGTCATAGGCCGCAGGCGTTGAGTCAGGGGCTGGGTGGTGTCAGAGGGGCATGTTCCCGACGGAGACGTGGGCCATCGTGGGCCCCGCCGAGTGCCTCTTGTCTCGAAGCTCTTGAAATTCTACAATCCTGGCCACATTACATGTTGCAAAACGTCGAAGCGAGAGAAGCTCGCAATGAAAGCATAGGAAAGCTGATCGAAAACAGGCCCGGATGTGCCACCGAGGCACAGGGCAAGAGCCAGCAACAGCAGGTTTCCTCGGCTTCAGTTTAAGGCTCTCAACGCACCTTGCTAGTAGGTCGGTGCGAAAGCTTTCAACAACGTCCATTGACATTCTTTCGAGATGGGAAATGTAGGGAAAAAATTCTGGAGAGCCACCCATACTCTTCATAGTCTCGCTTGAGAAGCTTGCCGGGGGGGTGGGGGAGGTGGGCGGCCAAGCACCCATCTGAGTATTGTGCAGAAGGTTCGGGGTTCAGGGCTTTCTGAGACACCGTGGTGGCGGGCACGCCACATGTACGGCGCTGTGCAAATTTGTCTTGTCGGCCATGGGCCACTCGCTATACTCGAAGCTGAAACCGGAACCATACAACACAACTGGCAATCCGACCACCACTAAAGTCGCTTGTCAGTAGTAGCAGATACCAGCATTTCAAAGGCGAAGCAGCCATCATCTTCACCGGCATCTAAGGGATAGTGAATGATAACGCAAGCCTAGCTTCTGGCGTAGCTCTTAGCCGTCTTAGCCTTGGCACCCGTCGAGGTCACCCAGGCCTGCAGCGTCCCAGCTCTGAGCTCTTCAAACTGCGAAACCGGTGCCCTTTAAAGGGTACTACTGGGAGTTAGGATTCGGGGGACCCTCGGGGATGTAGACCCTCTCACTAAGGTCCCTTTTAAGAGAGCCAGAAGTAGGGGTTCAGAAGGGTCGCCTTCAAGGGTAGGAACTACAGGGGTTGCAGAATTGGGCCCCCATTAAAGGGTGAATTCTGATGGCAGATCGTGCTCTGGCCCTCGGTGCCAGAAAGGGAAAGGCTGCGCAGGCACACTGAGAAAAAAATCGAAGCCCAACCAGCCTCCAGCAAACGTGCCGCTTTCCTGAGGTTGGGCAGCAACAAGCGTGTTTTGCTGGAATGTCATGGCCAAACCGGCAACATGTTGGAATCTACAGTCGACAGACTCTGGCCGAGTGTCGATGGCAAGCCCTGCCGCAACATCGAGGTTGCAGCTCCTGAACAGGCCTGCGAGAGCTCTGCCATAGTCGCTTGCCGCGTTCCACTCGAGCGGCGAAGCACGCTCCTGTAGGCGGCTTCGGCACCTCGGAAATCCCCAAGCCGCCGCAGGGCTGTGCCGCGACGTAGTGCTGCGGCGGCGAAGCCCGGTGCCAATCTGGTGGCTGCTGTAAACTCCTCGGCTGCTTGGCGGTCCCGGCCCAGCTTCTGGAGAGCATCTCCGAGGGCGCAGTGCGCGTGTGGACGGAGGGCTTCCGGAAGCGAGGACGGATCCTCCAAAACGCCTCGCCAGGCTGAGGCCGCCGCCTGCCAGCGGCCAGCCTCGGAAAGAGCCAGCGCCTCTTGGAAGCCGGTTCCCGCGTCAACGCGCGCGTAGCGCGCTCGGCGCTGCAGCTGGAAGGGTCTGCTGGGAAGCCCCTGGCACCGAAAGAGGACCGGCCACCCAGACCTCTGACTCTCTGGGACGGCAGTACCACTGCAGACTGCCACCAGCAGCGCGTGTCGCAACGATACGCGGAGCCCATGGCGACAGCACATCAATTCGTGGACAGCATTGGGCAGAGGGTCACCTGACTAGGCCTTCAAGCAGCAGGGTGCCCTGGAACACATGGTTTCCGATTGCACTTGTGCACGTCTTCCTCCACTGGCTGCTTTGAGCACAGTACACACCTTTCCCTTGCTTCACCTGCTGGAGAACTGCAGGGTTAAGAAGTAGGCTTCGAGTGCCGAGCTTCGAGTTTCTGTCGGGGTTGCGGTCTGGAGCATGGAAAGTCCAACTGAGGACTCGAGCATGGCAAGCACCAGTTGCATACTCCCCGCCAAGCGACTAAGACTCCCAAGGCGAGTCAAAATCAGGGAGTCAGAAGGCGACTTTCGGGGTTGCGAGAATCCTTTGAATCGATGTCGCATTCACGGTTCTGGGATGTGAAACATAAGAAGGCTTGGCAGCGCATCGAGTCGTTGGGATGCTCACTTTGGACTCAACCTGGCAGCATGGACAATCGAGCTTTTCACTATCCAAATTGTCCAGGCTGCATCATTTTCGCTGGTTCACTTCTAAACTCCAAACCTGTTATGCCAACGCAAGTCTCGAATTAGGTTTAGGCGCCAACGCATCCTGCACTTTGATGAGGGAACATCGGAGGCTAATTCAAGCTTTGGGGGTTTTAAGTGCCTGGAACTTGGCGTCCCTTGGCTCAGCACAGCATTGGCTGCAAGGCTGGGGCCCAAAGATGCCCAAAGCGGCGCGCGCTCTTTGAATAGAAACCCAAGTCCTAGAGCTCCCTACCTAGGGTTTAGGATTTAGGGCTTAGGGAGATTGCCCTAAACGGCTGTCGTAGCCTTGCTCCTGGACAGGTCTTCGAACCGTTTCCCCGCTGGCGCCTCCAACCCTCTGCGGCGACCACTCGAAGATGCCACTCGCCCAAGCCTCGTGCAGTCCACACGAAGCCATCCGAAATCCTGACAGCTGCAATACCTGTGTCACTTCATGGATGCTATGCCCTGCTTGCATCAACCACGCCTTTGCCCATCTTCCCTAAACGAGCCTCAAATACGATGCCGGCGCCCCAAGCCCAGTCAACAAGCCTCAACTACTCGTACCCCAGGCCTGGTAGTCTTCAGATGGCGGTGCGAAGCGCCAGGTTTTCTTGTCGATGTGCATCTGGTAAAAGACACGCCCAGACACGGCTGGATACCTTTTTTGCGGCTTCCAGGTTTGAATTGCAGGCTTCGGGCTTACCCGGTTTAACGGATAACCATTCAAATTATACCGCAGCATTTTTGTCACGAAGACTTATAACACATTGCCTCAAGATCGCTGAAATATGACGCGCGCATACTGACTACGAAGAAATTCTTTACTACATGGTCATCCTGGTGCAGTCTCCGTCAAACTCAATCATGTGGTATCACAACTCGGTGATATAGTAACGACATTCGGCCAAGCCACGTGCCAATTCCAAGCTTTACTAACCTGCACCCTGTAAAACTACGTCCGACAGGTGATATGCGAATTCGGGCACTATTGATGGTTGCCTCGTTGCCGCATGTAGTCCCGCGAGGCTGCAAGAACTGGGCAATTTCGCAAGGCTTCTCGAAAGTCCAGACAAACAACCCAACAGCTCAAGCCCACTACCCTTAGGCTTGTCTTCGGGCCACCTTCGAACCCTCGACCGAACTGTGTGGGTGGGTTTGGGGCTGTTCTGGGCCATGGCTGCCACTCACGGCCCCCCATCTCGTCAGACTTCATGACATAGCCCTCCTGAGATATGAAATTCGGCCGGGCCAGAAGGCAATACCCGTAGACCCTACCGTCTGGCAAGGCCTCAGGCCTCCTCCCGCAACCTTGCCCGATTCGGTATCCGTCCCCCATCAAAAGACCTCTGCCGCTGCCACCCTCATCACCATCATCAACTCCAGCACCATGACCCGAAAACCTCCATCCATGATCAAAACAGGAACCGCACCGAACCTGCCATTTTGGTGCATTCAAAGTCCATTCGGGCAAGTGAATAAAGTACTCAGGCCACGCCAGGGGGCTCCGCTGTGCCATTTACCCTGGTGCGACAGACGCATGGCGCCAGCGTCCAGGTCGATGGCAAAACCCAGGATGTCACCCACCTTCCATCGCTCAACTTGCACCTCGTCAGGGTTATGTGTTCCCTGACCGCTTAGACGGCTATGATTTCCAGCTTTTTTTTTTGGGCGGGCCCTTTTCCAACTGCCAAGGTAGCCGAAACTCCCTACCGGGAGGAGCCGATGGGAAGGCTGGGGCAAAACAAAGACCAGCAAACACAGCTTTTAGGGTTTAGGGTTTAGGGACTACCCTTGCCATACCAGGTAAGAAAACCGCGCAGCCCTCTGGAAGAATGCCGCCCCCGGCCTTTTGTTTCCGGCCTGCCTTCCAGTTCAACAGGCGATCCCCATCGAAGGCATAGCCATGCTCGTCGTCCCCAACACCATTCCCGTCGTGCGGCCCTTCTTCAAAGCCGGTTGACAGCCAACCGAATTGAGGACAACCGGTCTCAGTAAACAGCTGAACTTCATGATAAAACTTCCCGCTGCTGCGAGCAGCATCCTTGGCCCCAGCAGTCAACCAAAGCCCAATTGAAGCATCCTCTTCAATCTCCACCGGGCGAATGCCACGCAGTCCAAGCAAGGAAGGCCTCCCCTGAAGCTCACGACCAGCCCGCCAGTCCTTACAACAACTGACGACAAGCAAGATCCAGCTAAACTCAGCGTGGAGGACGCAGCAAGATCTAAAGATATCCATGCGCGTAGGCATCGTGTGAATCCTGCTCCTCACAGCACTCCTACACGAAACCAATTATGAAGTCAATAATCTCAAAAGTCTATTTGCCTTGATGGCCAATCTATCACCATTCCATCTCCACCACCAAATCCACCAAGCAACACCAGTACCATCAGTGCCCGCACCAGCACCATCATGCATGAGGGCAGCAGGGAGCATGATGAATGCGAGAAGGGGTTTAGGGGGCCGGTTCAGGGGCAGGCCTTAAGCTGCATCACCCGAAAAACGACATTGGAATTGTCATTGTGGCATGCAGGCCTGCGGGGCCCACTCGACAACTCCTGCCGCCCATTCTTCATAGTCGTCTCCTGCAAGCGTCGCGCGCCCGTCCCCACAGAGCCCCTCTAAGCATTAGAGCGAGTAGCCCCGTGTCACTCCAATATACCTGGAACAACAGGGTAATCATGTCGAAGCGCTCCGCTATCTGCACCGACAACCAGATTTCATCAGCATTCCAGCAGCTCGCCACACCAAGATGTGCATTCTCCGTTTTACTCAACCCTAACCCTGAAACCGAATCTCCTGGCGGCATGTGTAGCCAATTCATGCGCCCCAGATACAGCCGAAACGGGCCAAGCGTGGAGACCGCAGGGTGCCTCGGCGAAATGAATGGATCCCGTGTCTTTGCAAGACAAGATGTGATGCACGGAAGAGGAAACTCTAGCTTTTAGCACGGAGCGTCGGGTATTTCGCACTGATGCCAAGCCTTGCCGGGCTAGCAGATAGGAGTGTCGAAGACAAATGCGTCGAAACCAACTCCCAAGCCCGAACAAGACTTCTTGCCTGGTCAAACTCGCCCCATCCATCAAACAGCGTGTGCCTCAACCGTAGCATCGCCGCCTAGTTTGGGAATCTTGATTTAACCATGAAGTACCCCGGGGACCAGGTGCAGTTTGCGGCCCTTCGGGTCGAACACGATCTTCCCAGAGTCAACATCCTCGCCAGACTGATTGGATCTACGGTGGTTAGGCAAGGTTCAGGGCCTGGCTGGGCGTGGCAGCTGCAAGCATCTAATTGCCCGATTGCCTTTATCACTTCGCCTTCTTACGAATGAGGATTTAGGGGCTGAGTCCTATCTATTGGATTACGCACTGTGTTGATTGATGGTCGTTACTTGCAGGGCCATGTTCCTATCTTCAGCGGAGGGGCTGGAATCGCATGCTCAACTTGTCTAAACCGTCTTTCTGAATACAAACTGCAGAAAGGACAAACGGTCTAAGTGGCCGACAAAACAAAGTCTTCATTGCGAGGCTCACTACCAAGAAGAAGCATTGCACCTCCCCTGCATGTCACCATGCCCATCCGTATGCGAAGCGTCAAGAAGAAACAATGGACAAGGGATAAGAAAGGATCCACTCAGAAATCCCACGCCTTCGATTTCGCCTGCCTTAGAAGCCTGCGTACTTGTGCTACAGCACAGCCGTGACATGCCAGACAGCCGCCAGCCGCTTCCCGCCCCCTCCTCTGTACCAGTAGGATCGGTAGGAGACAAGTTCAGGTGAAGCAACGCCGGCGGAAACCACCACGGTTGACCATCTGGCCTTCGATCGCTACACTGCGTGAGCATCTGCATCGCTCAGTGCAGCTGCAAAGCTTGTTGTCCAGTGAGAACTCGGGACTTAAAACAGCAGGAAGAGCAGCGAGAATGCGTGCTTCGATATGGAAATGATTTTGCGACATGCTCCCTGGTGCTCGTGAGGCTGGTTTACCTTTGAGGCTTTGGGTGAACCAGCTCCAGATCTCGACTGCCCATATTCTTCTTACTTCCCTGGAACAAGTACAAGAAGTCAAAGCAAACAGCAAGGTCTCCGACAATCATGACATCTCCTCTGGTCTTGGCTGCTATAAACGGCACTCCTACCTAGTCGTAACACTTTCAGTACAGCTGCTTCTTCTCAGCAGCCTGTAATCCAGCAAAGCACGCCATATGCAAGCCGTTCCCAGCTACAAGTTTCATGACTACGTCAAAGGTTCCAGAGCTCCAGGTGGAAAATGTTACCAAGTCCCAGGCATCTCCAGCTGAAAGCCGTCGCTATCTTTCGTCAGATATTTTCCTCGCGGTCACGAAGTGCTCATGCCCATTTCATTCTTCCTTTAGCAAGGGTACTTGAAACACCGCCTCGCGTACGATTAAATTACTATGATACACGATAATACAATATACTGTGCTGCATTATGCTGTATTAAGTATACTCTACTCAGCTATAAAATGCTGCACTATACTACATTATACTATACCAAACTGAACCCTGCTATGTTATACTATGATACAGGTTACAGTATGTTGCAAAAAATCCACTAGATACCAGATACTAGATACTGCGTACTTGTATACTGCACTGCACCGCACAGTGCTGAACGCTGCCTTGACCGGTTCTACTAACAATATAATTTTACTACACTAGCTGACTAGCTAACCTGATACTCGGATTAATTCTTTTACTAACCCTGGCACTAGCTACTCGTATATCACTATATCATATTATGCTGTCAATCCATACTAACCCATACAAGGTTGTCACTGCGATTCAATACTGTTCGAACCTATCCTATTCCATTACTTAATATTCTGGACTGTTCTATACTATTGTGCACTAATCTGCGTCCGTCTATTCTATAGCATAATGCACTATCTGCTCTAGTCTGTTCTGAGGCTGTCTATTACCATTCCAACCATACTAAACCATACTCTACCATACTACACTATACCATACTATACTATATCTACCATGCTTAAACTGTACTAGACCATAGTGTATGAAGTACTATGCTTGACCATATTGCAGTATTGTTCATGACAACATTACATTTCCTTACAGAGCAGTACAGTGCAGCATAGTTTGGCATAGTATAGTATAGCATGGTATGGTATGGCATGGTGTGCACCATATATAGTAAGTTATAGTATAGCACATCGTGTTATCTGCGATATGTATGCATCACAACGTGGGGCTTAGCTCCTATCCTGCACCGCTACTCGGAGGCTGTCCTTCTTGGCCCAAGCACTCTTCCATGTTGCTGGCCCAGCCACAACCGCTAGCTTCCGCAACACGTTTTGCCTCTTTGACGCTGACTTTCTTGATCCGGATTAAGCTGCCCACTGCTATGTCAGTAGATATGTCCACCTTACCCGGCGACGTGCATGGGAAAGGGCATGCTTTGCTGCCAAACTCTGTTCAGTCAGATTGGTTGGGGCTGCGGGAGATTGGGACGGAAATTCGGGGACGAGGGACGGGTAGCAATGCCATAATACCCTTCAACATGCGAGAAGAAGCAGCGCAAACACTCGCTGAAGGCATGACGGCTGCTTCTGGCCGAGGCCATCTGCTTTGTGAGGTGCATTTCGCCGGGACAGTTCATCTCTGGCAAAGGCTCTTCCACAACCAACGACGGCAGTACTAGTCTCGGAGAAGAGAATCAAATCAGGCGTGCCAAGGCTGGTTGATGAACTAGGTAAACCATCGGGCCCGTGTCAGGGCCTGTCATCATGCTGAGGCGGCCGCTTGGCGGTAGCTGCACAAGCGCATCTCGCCCACGTCCAGGTCCACAGCAAGACCTAGGAGATCTCCTGAACGCATCGGAGCCGCAGTAAGACTGCTGGTAACGTGCCAGTGCCGGTAAGAAAATACTTGTCAAAGCAGTCGGGGGGTTCACAAGGACCGCCCACACGCACCTGGCCTCTGGCCTGGCGACTCCCCTCCCACTCCCGCCCTCGGGCCTGGCCTAGCTAGGGTCGAGGCACAGCGATACAATCATAGTCTGTAGACATCTGTTACCACAAGTGATCCTGTACATCGTCTTGGCGATACGAGATCACAACTGGGCGGTCAGCATGAAAGGGGCATTTCCCAGATAATGGTGATGCAGTCGCTATGTCAGCAATCTTTCTGGTATCAGAACAGGTCATCAAACTGGGACTCGGGAGGCATACTTCACCCAGTCTACCCCTGCATGCTGCATCGATAGCTTTTAGTCAAAGCACGACGTGCATCACAATATACAGCTGACCGCGATTTTTCCCAGCACTGCTGTCTCATATTGGATTTGCAAAGGCAGTGACATAACTGTATGTTCTATCCATGTCCCCACTACTATAATGACTAGTACGATGACTACGAAGAAATGCCCGTAGCACGACCGCGATCACCACCACCACCGCCAGCACCAACACCATGATCATCAAGACATGTAATGGACGCAATGATGGTTGGCATTGCTGACTACGGTAAACTATGTACCGCTACAACAAGAAGACCGGACAAGCTTAGATAGTATGTATGAGGACAAAAGGAGCGTGAGTAAGCGGATCTTTGCTGCAAAGTCATTGCTGGAAACCGGGATGTGTCCTTGGCACCATGGCTCCAAGCTTGCCTCAGGGCATTTTACAAGTATTGGAGCAAATTCTGCATTATCTTCCGAGGTCCCAACTCTCTCTTCATGCTTGGAAGCAACAACAGACGCGGGACAAGATTGTCCGTACACCTTTCAAAGTCCAGAAGCTACTTGACCTGTTCTACATTTCGGTCACTTTTTGCAGGATCTGCAACCACACTCCACGCACCCGGTCAACTATCGTGTATGCATATTACGGCTTATCACGATTGTCACAGTACCCTTAGCTGGGGGAGGAATTGAATGAAAAGAGTTAGTACTGCTTAATGCTGTGAGTCAGGCTGCCTGCGACCTCTCGCCAGCATTCCACTTCATCATCCGCCATCCCTCGAAGGCAAAGCTCTCTGGATCGTCTCCTATGGCACCACCATCAAAATCTTCCGTGGCCCAGCCAACCCGAGGACTCTCTGGGCGGCTCAGCAGGCGCAGCTCATAGTAGAACTTCCCGGAGGCTCGGGAGACTTCCGGGAGGCCGGCGGCGAAGAAGTCGCTGATGGATTTTGGGACTTCACAGCCGAGGGCCTCGAGCCCTAGAAGCCGCGGCCTCCGCCCACTGAGCTGCATGTCAAAGCCCCAGCTGCGGTCGCCAAACGTAGCCTGGAAAGTGTCCCACAATCTGATGAAAGCTTGAAAATTTTCCCATGTGCCGAGAGGTTTAAAGTTCTACGCTCATCAACTTGCAAACGAGAGCGACACGTGCACTCTAGCTCTGCATTAGGGTCACACGGAGAATCACTATCTATCTACCTATCTATCTATCTACCTATCTACCTACCTATCTATCGATGTATCTATCTCTTGTTAGATATATACTTTTTTACGCCCATGTACTTGCTTGCACAGACCTAAGTTCAGCAAGGTCGCCTCATTGGCCCACTCTCCGACTCCAGACGCCCAGGGCTCGTAGCCCTCTTTGGGGCCGTCTTTCGGAGGTCCGAAAATCCAGGTCTGGCGCGATCCCCAGGCTTCCCCCCAAATCTACGGTAGGCGTATTGTACTTTTGTTTTCCTCCCGTCTTGCGAGGACAAACCTACGAAGCGTGGGGTTCAGAGAGTTTCGGGTTCATGGCTCAGGGACTCTGCATGTTTCTCCTGCATTGCAAAGACTTCTGTTTCACTGCTCACGCAGTGCAGTGCTCAGCTTTGTAAGATTCAGAAAGAACCCTGAGTTGCTGAATGCCTCCTTGCCAAGGCGTAGTCGGAACAGGCCCCACTTTGCAGTGACAGCTGGGTACCTCTCAAAGCTCGTGAGGCGTGAGTTGGCTTTTTCCTTCGGAGCTTTGTCAAAAGCCCTGCCGAGTTTACCCACCCTGGGCACAAATCTCGGCCATTCGGCTGGAAGTCCATGAAATAGCCGGCCTTCAAATCATGCGACAGGCGTTATCATGTCAGCTTTGACTGTTCAAGTCACTGTCGTGCATCCGGGCACCACCCGGTGCTGCATCCCGTTTGGCTTCCGTCTTGCACTCTGGTCCCTGGATGTCATTTGGACTCTCCTACAATCCTTCCCTTAACGACTTGACAGGCATCAACATCAGATACTCTCGTGCGAAGGAGTATGTATGAGTATGTCCTAGCTGGCTTGAGGCCGAAGCACCTCAGTCTCTGCCTGCCACGTGCCCTGATGCGACAGCCGCATTTTGCCGGCGGCGAAATCCAAGGCCAAACCCAGAACATCTCCTGGCTCCCACGACGGCAGCGCCACCTCAGGGCGCAGTGCTTTCGAGTGTTTGGGCATGCCACAGCATGGCAATCCTGCTACGCCAACGGAGGCAGAGAGGAAGTGGGAAGGAACAATGCGTGGAGTCTTGCTAGCCTCAGTAACGGCCCCTCGCTTGAAGGTGTCTAGAGACACTACTGTAGCACGGGATCTCTGATGACCATTTCAGCACCCCACTTCCAGCCTCGGGGCCTTCGGCAGCATGCAGTTGAAACATTGTCCTGCCATCTTGGCTCTGCCAGCACCAACTTTCCGCGTCAAAGCCGAGGTCCCTGCTTCGTTGGTATGCCGTGGTGGCCCAGCCAACATTGATCCTCTCAATCTTGCTTAGAAGTTGCACTTCGAAGTAAAAGGCGCCGCTGTTCTTGCAGTTTTGCTTGGCTGCCGCAGTGAGCATGATCTTCTCAAAATCGGACCCCTTCGGCACCCCTGTCCGATCCAGCAGTGACAGGTTTTGCAGATTGAGCGGCCCACGGCATTCCTCCCGCCACTTCGTCTCGATCAGCTCAAGCATTTCGTCGGGTTTGTCGAGCTTGCTGGCTGCATTCCGGGCACGCTGTAAGTCCACAGCATCTATGGAAACCTCCTCGAGAAACCACCTGAACAGACTCTGGACTGAGCTTCTAGAGGCGATTTTTTGATGTGTGCTGTAGCCCCAATAGTTTCGTCGCAACCCTCACCTGGCGGCATCTGCTTGGCCTGCCCTGGCGGCGGCCACGATGGCCGAGTCCCCGCTGCGATTGCGCCAGCCCATGTCGCAACCGGCGTCTGCGAGAACCTGCAAAAGCCTTGTATTGCCACGGCGGGCAGCAACGAAGGTGGGAAGCTCGCCTTCATTTCTGGTTGAGACTGTGAAATCGCAACCGGCGTCTCGAAGCCATACCAGAGCAGCTTCCGCATCCTGCCAGGGTGCACACAACTCCCCAGTGGCTTCCAGCAGCTACTCTGCAGACAAGACACAAGGTCGTCTGTACAAAACCATTGCAGTTTCTGGCCGGCCACCCAGAAATCGGTCGGTAAAGACATTTACATGCATAAGTTCCCCTTCCACACGAATCTGAGGGCCACTCTCTAGTTTGTAAGCCGCAGATCCCATCACTGGCCGTGCCCACCTCGTCACCCACTTCGGACACCAGCGCTTCCAAATCCTGCAAGCAATTGACTGAGTCGCGAGTGATGCCTCTGCCATTCTTGTTCGATAGAGGCACCAGTTGGGAGATCTAGACGTGTCATGCCTCCGTCCCACTAGTCACTGACAGTCCTCTGCCCGTACAGACTCCACCGTGGCTCCGTGCTGCTGAAGCAAGCGCATGACTTCAGTGGACCCGAGCCGGGCCGCGAGGGCAAGAGGTGTAGCCCCAGCGTTGTCTTCCTTCTTGCAGTCTGCACTGAACTGCAGAAGCAGCTCGCAAATCTGCAGGTGCCCCGGGGTGAAATTCCGGACACCTCCGACGGGTGACAAAGCTTTGTGGAGACCGCGTTCCTGAGCTTGTGAGGACAAAGACTTCGTGCAGCAGGCATGACCGCGGAAACCCAGTTGTGAAGTCCTTCAAGCCTTGCACCTTGCGAAGACCTGAACTCATGTTAAGTAGTATGTGTATGTATTGTTGTGCATTTGCATACGTCTGCAACATACACAGACGCAAAACCAATACACAGAGGCACTCGTCGACAAAGGGCACGCGGCGAGATTTTCAAAGTCTCGCTCTGTCTAAGGCGCCGGCATTGTCAGCCCCCCGGGAGTCGGCGTCTGCGTAGCTGTTCAGCAACTCTCGCACTTTGCGCACATCACCATCTTGGCAGTGCCTTAGAACAGCCCCTCTAATGTCAGGAAGCTGGCTGAGATTCGCTACAAGTACGAACTTTCCGGGCTTCTCCGTCGTGTTGAGCTTCTGGCAAAAGTTATTTTTTTGCAGCGTGTGCAGTCAACAGCACCACGCAAACAAAAAAAAATCCTGCTCCTGAATTCAGCTGCCAAGATGCGCTGGCAGCTCTGTGCTTTGCTTCAGCCTTTTCTTCACCGCTTGCTTCAGTTGGCTTCGGATTGCTCTCACATAGTCTATCTTCGTCACCTGCACAGAGGCTATTGGACTTCGGAAAAAACTGACTGCCTCGCCACCACCGCAAGCTCAAGCAGGGAAGGCCAAGCGTGGAGAACGGAATTGCTAAACACCATGATAGCAGTCGCATGTACCTAGATCAGCAGACATAACCATGGAACACCATGGAACACGCGTCAGTACATGCCATCGTAAATCTTAGACAAGAATAGAAGCACAAATACCTGTGTATGTATGTGCCTCTCGGACACACGCAATTCAGGAAACCTGGGGGAAGCAAACGCAAGACCGCAGATTTGTGCAGAAAGATCTACCTATCGACCTATCTATCTTCCTACCCATCGATTTATCCATCTATCTATTGATGTATCTATCTATCCATCGGCCTGGTTTTCTGTCTGCCTGCCTGTCTGTCTGTCCCTGCCTGTGCGTTTAACTGTCTGTCTGTCTATCTGTCTGTCTGGCTATCTACCCATATAGCTAAGGCTAGCTATCTATCCATCTGTGTATCTACGCAAGCAAACATACATTCATTTGTTTAGATAGCTATACATCGGTATACATTTACTTGATCTCCCACCTTTCCACGAAGTTTCTGAGATGTTCTGAGTGAGTCTCAGTGCTCACCCGTGCACCAGGCGGCTAGCGAACCATGATTTGTCGTTTTGTCGCATGCGCACGCCTGCGAGAGGATGCACACCGCTCGGCCCAGGTACTCGTTGTCCGGTTCGCTGCGAAGCCGTAGAAGGCCTCAGGGTGTCAATTCGCAGTTCTTTTCAGAGTTTGGCATAAGGGCTCAAGTTTCAGGGCGCATTCTCTACCCCTGCTGGAAGAGGGCTCATGGTTAGACTCCGACTCCACTACCAAGAAGCCAAACCAGCTACCTGGCACAATACAGGGGCACAACCACAGAGGTGCAAGCAGGTCTAGCTTCCAGATCGCTGGCAAGCTGCCTTCCATAAGGGGGGCAATGCCGTCCTTATCCGTCACATTCCAGTCTGCCCCATTTTCCAGCAGCAGCCACATTGCTCGTTCGTATCCACCTTCCATCACCTGCTGGCTCTGCTATGCCGGGAAATGACGCCGCTCGACATTTACACCGCAGAGAACCGCGGGACCACGGGTTACTGATACTACACGCTCACCGTCCCAGAGATTTTCCAAGCCTTGTGCAAGGCGGTCTGGCCGGAGGCTTCGTCCTTGATGTCGATATCTGCACCATATTGCAGGAAGACGCTCCTTGCATCATGCCCAGTGGTAAGAATCCGCTCTAAGCCGCACGGTGCAGGTGCCCTGACATGCGGTGCACCCGAGGATCATGAGCTCGGCGTTGCCAGCCTCGGCTGCCTTGAGCAGCAAGGGTTTCTCCTTGCTGTTCAAGATGGCCTGCTGCCACGACCACATGTCGGATGTGCTGACAATGACTCGTAGTTGGCTTGTTCAGGTGATACCTCGAAAACTCACTGGCGCAAGTTCGGAAACCCAAACAATAAACATTTCACGACATTCCGAAGCTTGCGTGCATTTTGCATGCTCGGCGTCAATAGAAGCACCCTGCATACCCCACCCAAGATAAATTGAAATCAGCCGCAAGTGTCAACACGTGGCCAAGACTAGTGAAACCTGACGGCCCTGTCGCTGTTTTTTGGAGGCAGACAAAAAAGATAAGAAGGAGCCGCATGTTCCAAATGCTGCCTTCAGCTCATGGCCATCTTGCCCCCAATCGTCCTCTCGCGTCTAGACTCAGTCTAGACAGCACGTGCGGATCCACTGAACAACTCGAAAAGCTGCCAAGTCCTTGATGGAGTTCAGAGTGTTCAGGGCCCTCTTCACAGCCTCGATTCCTGTGTGCGCGACCGCTGCCATAAGATCTCGCTCGATCCGGTTCCGACCACTCTCCTCTCAGGCTGTAACGTCAACAGGCTTGTTCAGGATCTGGGCTGTGTTGGCGGTCCTTGACATAGATCATGCCGGGGACGTTAAGCCTCACTCCGGCACAACTGTATTTCCGTGCTCTCCAGCTGCTAAAGCACTGAAGCTACTAAAGATTGCTGAAGAAAAAACTCACTACCTCTGTGATTGGGTGGTCATTGCCACTCGTAAATGTGCCTCCGGCGGAGGTACCTTCTGCCGATGCAGGCCGCACCACCGTCACGCAGAGCGCATGCAGGTGACAGATGACAAAAGGAGGAGCAGGTGTCGCTTGAAGGAAACATTGAGCGACACGGCCGTTCTCGCGAAATGCACCGGGACTCTCCCGATGACAATCGACTGCCCGAGGCTCGTTCATGCTCGATCAACGACACCCCCACCCGTTTGCGCGGAATTCCAGAAAGCGCTTGGCGGGGAACCGGGGACATATTGTCAGTGCCACTGCTCGAGCACATGAAAGGTGCTCTGTGGATCTCCACATGGCTGGCTCTTCAGGGAAGATCTTCACAAGGCAGCGCTGTGAATCGGCTTCAGCGAAAGGAGCACTCGTACAGCAGCCACAAAGAAAGCTTGCAAAAAATGTTTCGTTACAATCCTCAAAGCACCAAGCAGATTAGCTGCCCAGCTACTGGAGCTCGCAGGTCACGCCCCCGATGCGGATGCAGAGCTGCAGGTCGCGGCAGCCGCCGGGCATGGGAAACAAGTATCTGCAAGGGGCGTCCGAGAGCAGCAACTCCCGATGTACGAGCTGACATTGGACCAAGGGCTTCGACTCTTCGACTTCGACTGGACTGGACCGGAGGATACGTCAGGCACAGGACCTGCGCCTGTCTACTCCCGAAATCTAAAACCCTTACTGACAGTGCTGTTGCCCCACAGCCTGTCATTGAACTCTACGATGTCCAGGGTTCCCTCCTGCAGGGAGGGCTCTGAGTGAGACCGAGGGTAATTCGTTGCCGAATTTGGGAATTCGAAAAGGGTTCTTGGGTATATTATACTATAACTTATAACCAGGAACCCCCCAAAATAGTAGAGGTAAGATTTCTTGGACTTCGTGAGGAGGGGCTTGGGATGTCCCAAGGCTCGTCGTCGCCCTTTACGCTTTCGAGAACAAACGGGCGTATCAGTTTCGTCTAGGCTTAAGCCGTCGAGCATGAGCAGTATGATCAGTACATGATTGGCAGTATTAACACGATTTTCTGCCAAGCTATTAGCATGATTAGAACTTATAGAAGCAATAGTGTCATGAGGGCTGCAGTAAGTGGTGTCAGTAGTAGTACATTGACTTACATTCTATGTTGCTGGTACTAGTATATTCGAACTAGCAATACTATGAAGACTATTAGTAGTATTAGTAGTATGATTAATACGATGAGTGTATTTCGTATTGTTAATTTTTGCCATAAAATTCTATCGGTAGTCTTGTTCGCGAGCCTCGCAAGCAGTGTCCATGAACTTCAGCCCCTCGTACATGTCTTCCATGCTTTCATAGATGATGGTGTCCCGGACAATGTCCGTTAACCGATACCTCGCGATTGCGAATAGTACCAAGGATCTGAGCTCAGAGTACAGCTACCATGAAATCCTCAATCGTTCATCGAAGATGCCAGGCGACTTCGCCACTTGCGTCACGATACTTCTCTTGCGCCTTTGCTTCGCACCTGCTCTTTGACTTTATAGGTGGCTCGCAGTTCTTTCCCTTCGTCTGCGACGCGATCTCACGCACCTGCACTACGTGGGAACATTGCCTTTACATCTGTTGTGGTCGAATCGGATCTAGCAGCTGAGGCCACGGCTTTTTGAAAAAAGGCTTCCTTTTGCTCCTCGCAGCGCGTGAGCAACTCGTCCAGGTCGTTCACATACTTCTGGTAGTTTAGCTTCGTGCTGCGAGAGTGCCGGTTGGTTGGAAGAACTTCCGCCATCTCTCGAGAGACCCCGTACTTTTCCATCAGGGACGTACCTGAGTCGCTACTTTGGGCACTTCGGGTGCAGTTTATGCGATAAGTGTGATGACCTGAAGCCTCTCGAAGAAGGACACATGATTGGAAAAGGCCACGCTTTACCGAATCGGGAGCAGGAACCCTTGCTCCCCTTGCTCTCTAAAACTCGAAGATAGCTGGGATCGCCAAGTCAGGTACAAGTTGCCCAGATCGCGAAAAGTTTCCAACTTCTCAAGACCGCCCACTTGTGCCAGGGCTTCCCCATAGGACCTGCCGTTCTCTGCAGGGCCCGTTTGCTGCAACCAGTCCTACTACTTGCACTATGGTAGGCCAAGTCTCGGCCAAAACAGTCTCGGTCATGCTGACACGAACATAGCGAGATGTACGGATGCACACAAACGCTGTCTGAATGTATGCATTCATGCATGCATGTACGCATGTATGTACGTATGTAAATAAACGAAACAGAGAGAGAGAGTGTGTGTGTGTGTGTGGGTGCGTGTGTGTGTGTGTGTGTGTATGTGTGAATGTGTGTGTGTGTGTGAATGTAGGTGTGTGTGAAGGTTTCTATGTCTGTCCGTCCGTCTGTCTGTCTGTCTGTCTGTCTGTCTGTCCGTCCGTCCGTCCGTCTGTCTGTCTGTCTGTCTGTCTGTCTGTCTGTCTGTATGTGTATATGTAAAGATTTATGAGTATGTCTGTCTGTATATATATATATATATATTCGAGCTCGACAACTGGGACGACAAGAAGAACTATGATACCACAAGCGATTATAAGAGTATAGTATGACGACGGCTGCTACCGCTACCGCGACCAGGACGACGACCACCACCACCTGCCCCACGACGTCGACGACTACCACTGTTACCACTCTTTCTCGAAGGTTTGCTTTTCAAAGGCAGACATAATGCGCCATAACTCTGATGGAGAGATGACAATTTATCAAACCCCACAACTAGGGAACAACAAAATCCAAAAGGCGAGAACCTCGCATCCCCCACGGCAAGGTCAGACTAAAGCCCCAAAGCAAAATCCATGCTTGGCCCGTGTGCCTGTTTACGACGCCGCTCCCGTCCTTCTCCAAAACAGAGACCTCGGCCGCAACTTGAGAGATGTGGAATGGCGGACTTAATTCATTGGAGCAGGTATCTTTACACTAAAACCCCAGACCCTAAACCCTAAAACCCTAAAGCCCCAAAACCCCAAACTTGCATTACACAAGGTTTTCGCAGTCTTTTTGCATCAGGGGTAGAGCCGGCTTGAGCTTGGGTAGAGCCCGAAGGTTCAAAACGTCCCGTTCCGCGAAGGCAAACACGTACATGCAATCTGAGAGAAACAGAGAGGGAGAGAGGGAGAACCCAAAACCCTGAACCCTCAACCCTAAACAGAAGGAGAGAGCCTGGGAGAGAGTGAACCGTAAACCCTGAACCCTAAACAGACGGTCTTGGGAGAGAGAGAGAGAGAGAGTGAGTGAGAGCGACAGCTCAGACAAAGCCAGGAGCGATTGTAGAAGTTAGGGTTTTGGGTTTAGGGTTTAGGACTTTAAGAGCAGGGGAATTGCCAGGACGAGACCACTGCGAAGGGGTATGTGCTATCTTGTCACCGCGGGCGTCCACCCATTGCTGTCTGTCTCTGTGTGTGCTTGCTGTCTCCGACTTAAAACATATATATATATATACATATATATATATATACGTAGTATAACCACAAACATGCCGACTGCGAGAAACCTTACAGGTGGATCAGAGGGGGAGAGACACCGAGACTGTGATATAGGCTGGGGCTGTAGCATGCGGTTGTTTTCGAAATTGGGGGTTTGGTACGTATGGGACATGCAACCAAGATGCTAAGTACCAAATCTTTTCTGATTTCTGCTTGTCGTCACGGATCACGTAGATGCCGTTCCTTAGGCGAGTCAGGGATGCTGCAAATAACGGTCTCTACCACCCTAGACCGGCCCCTAAATCCGTCAATCCTATAAGTCCTGCCCTAACTCTAACCCCAAACCCTAACCTCCACACCCAAAACCCTAAACCCAAAACCCTAAACCCTCAACCCTAAACCCAATACCCTAAACAATAATCCCAAAATCCTAAACCCAAAACTCTAAACACAAAACTCTAAACCTTAAACCCAAAGCCCCCAAACCCAACACCCTAAACCCAAAACTCTGAACACAAAACCCTAAACCCTACACCCAAAACCCAACACCATAATCCCAAAATTCTACACCCAAAACTCTAAACACAAAACCCTAAACCTTAAACCCAAAACCCAAAACCCAACACCCTGAACCCCAAACGCCCCACTCCAAGTGGCAAGCCCGGTCTGGCAACCAAGCAGCAGTATGAAGACAAACAGAAACAAGGTACCTTGGTTCGTCATTATATTGCTACTACCCTAAACCCTAAACCCTAAACCCTAAACCCTATTACTATTCTCATTTATATAATTTATATATTTGGGAGTTTTCGAAGACTAGGGTACCTTATTTGGGGTGTCCTTATAATAAGGATCCTATTATTTAGGGTACTATATTGGTCCCCTAGTTTCTGAAACTCCCATTTTATTTTTTAAGGGCCTTTATCCGTCTGCTAGAGGACCGGCTCGGGAATCAACCGGTTTAGGGCTTAGGGTTTGGGCTTTAGGCTTTATGGGCTTTGGTGGGAGCTTTGGAGGAACATCGGGGGTTCTTCTTCACAACACAGTGGTCTCACTTGGGGGGGGCCCTAAACCCTAAACCCTAAACCCTAAAGATTCTTTTTGTACATGGCAGCTGTATTCGGAAACCCTGGTTCGAGCTGGGGCAGAGTGTGGATGCCGACGGTGCTACACTGTCACGCTTGAAACATGTGATTGTGGCATGTGGATGTATAGTATAGCATACCGTATAGTACAGAGACATCCCAGAAATTCTCGTCTTTAGCATCCTAAGCCTCAAACCGTTTCCGAGTGCATGTTATAACTCTTTCGAGCTTACCATGCAATATAGGGGCCTTCATAATTAGAAAAAGGCTTTGGGCCCATTTTTCTATAATCATAATAAGGAGCCCCCCAAATAGCATTGGTAATTATATTAAAGCCCTTATATCAGTCCCCTAAATAACCCTAAACCCTAAACCGATGGCGGGCCATTGTGTCTTTCTGTTCCGGAGTTGATCGGTTCGGGGCTTCGGAAACTTAAAGTACATGTAACCTACGGATTGAAGTGATTGATCCGGTAATTAGGGTTTAGGGTTTAGGAGTCAATGAATACCCTCCCTGAAGCTTTAAAGCCTTGTAAAGATCCCAAGAAAGGCCCACAACACCATCTTTCCGGGTTGCACATTTTATTTCAAGCTCTTTCGTTCACATCCCGTAGACTCCAGCGGTTTAGGATCTTTTAAAATTCGGGATCTGCCCTTAGCGCTTAGCACGATAGGTCCGAGCACCCAACTTTCTGGGGTTCACTAGTCCATGCGCCCAAATAGTATTCTTCGGCCTTAAGGTACTCCCTATAGAAGTGCTTTGAGGTCAATGTATATACTACTTGGGTACGTGGACCCTCAGGGTATATAAGAAGCCCACCAGGCGCCAATCACAAAGTCCTGAGGGCCCATCCAAGATACTGGTTGTTTAGGGTTTAGGGTCTAGGCGGCGATTGAAACCTTGACCCCTTGGACAAGGCGATAGTTAGCAAGAAGCACGTCCGCTGCTATAAGCAATGGCTGCACTATGGGTTTGGGTCCTAGTCTTCAAGCGGATTCAAGCCAATCTGCACCCTAAACCCTAAACCCTAAACCCTAAACCCAAATTGCTTAGAGCTTCTTGTTAAACTGTGGTCTTACACAGTGGTTCTGCTATCTGGGACTCTAAATTTCGGACCCTGTCTTGTACGGTTGATGATATAAATCCTGCAACACTACACCCATACTAAGGAATATACCATACTTCCCATAGTTTAGGGTCCTTAAGGTCATGCAGGATACATGACAGACCGTATGAAGCTCCCATATCATCCCACATCGCTGAGGCGCTTCCTGGCGGACCCTTCGAACTTGTAAGTGCTGCTTCCTATTCAGGCCTTGCCCCCACGAAAACCTTACGAAACAAATGACCATTAACCGTAGGCTGTGGTCTTTGAACCCTAAGCCCTCTAGTGCGCATATCTCACAAGTCTCTCACTTAAAGCTGTAGCGAGGCCGCTAGTTTGAACGCGATTATGGTCTGGGGCTTAGGGTTCAGAGTTTAGGGTTTGGGGCTTAGGGTTTAGGGTGTTTGAATGAGACAGCACAGTCGAGCGAGAGTAGTGCGAGCCGAGCAACTGAGCAAGTGACTGAAAAAGTTGGAAACGCCCTTGTGGTAGCTTCCTCACAAAAAAATAGCTCGACTTTTCTTAGTGGATCAGGGGTCTCACAGTAAGGTGTCCTGTGGAATTCTAAGCATGGTAGCCACGCTTACTTTTAATTCCTCTCAGTGCAGTGTTTAGGCTTTGGGCCGTACAGGGTCACCCCCACTTCAACCTAAAACCAGTGCCCTACAATCCTCTACCCTACAGCTATATATATATATATATATATACAAACCTTACAACCCTAAACCCTGTACAGCTCTAACCTACCCTGACATGCCCTGACCTTACAGCCACAAAAGAGATGACCTCATTCTTGAGAAGCCCCATCCAATGTATCAGCCTCCCTATGTGGTCATGCTATTTGCTTCCTTCTTACAGTGATACCAGGATTTACCACCGAATCCTATTCTAATGATCCTAAACCCTAAACCCTAAGCCCTAAACCCTAAACCCTGAACCCTAATGATTAAGGACACGAGGGATCCCCAAAACAAGACAGTCGACCACCATCCCATGACCCAGAGTGCTGTAGGGTTGAGGAGTTAGGGTTTGTTTAAGGAATATTTATTTTGAGTTGCCAAACAGTCTTACTAAAGTTAAAGGATTACTTCGCAAAAATCAAAGGACTTCCTGTTGTGAAGTACGGACTAAACCCTGTTGCCTACATTTTTTGTGG